TTTTACTTGGGCATCTATCTACCTATCTCGATGTGAGATGTGAGATTAAGCGAACGCAAGGGGTGATGTTTGGATTTGGTTGGTGAGTAGGTAGATAGGTAGGTAACTAGGTGGATAGGTAGTCTTGGTGATGCTTGGGTTGTTTGGGGAATGGGGAGCTGGGGAGTTGGGGAGTTGAGTGGTTGGGTATGAGATGATATTTTGTTTTTGTTTTGAAATGGAGATGTAAATGATGGAGATGAAGATAGAGAGGGAGATTTATATCTAGTGATTGTTATCATTGTTGTTATTGTTTTTGTCATTGTCATCGTCACTCCATCTAAAATATATTGATCATATTGTTGCCATTGCTACATATATTCTCGCTATCACTCATATTTCTCTCGATGTATTGATTCATTCGATATCGGATATGTGACTCCCTTCCTGTTGCTTCTAGCTATGAGGTGTGTAGAGATTCTGGGGATAGGTTGATGTGGTTGAGGTGGTTGAGGTATGGGGGAAGGGGGAAGGGGAAACGAGGTGTTTGGTGTATAGCTCCTTGGCTTGTAAGAATCTGCCTGTCTATTACTTTGTGATGGGGAAGTGTTTGGGGGGGTGGAGGGTTTATGGAGGGGTGGAGAGGAAGATAGAGATGGAAGTTTGTAAGCTGGGGGTAGGGGGTAGGGTATTCACTTCAGCGCATCTTTAAGGTATGTGATTTATTTACATCCGGAGGATTGGCTGGTTAGGTAAGTTAAACTCCCCGTGGATATTCACCAAATATTAATATTTCCATGTACATGGTCGGCTAAGCAGCTAGATTAGGTTTTTGAGGATTATCTTCTTAAGTAGGGGGGTATTTAAGAGGTCTCGATTTGTGAATAGATTGGCTGGTGAGGATGAGAGGTGACTGAAATTAAGGAGGACGAGAATGAGACCGAAAGACGATGGGCTGAATGGATTGATGGGTGGGAGATAGGTTGGAGATGGATGGGGTTTGTGTGAGGTAAAATTGGGGATGGGATTGGGGGTGGTGATAATGATGACAATGATGATAATGAGTTTGAGTGGCAGTGATATGATATACGGTTCTGTGGTGAGGTAAAATGTAAAGTGGGTTGAGATGAGATGAGATCAGAGCAACTGAGTTGAAAAGATTCCTAAGTCTGAAATATCAAGACGAGAAGATATGGTTTCTCAGCAATGTATATATGTATTGTTGTCATAAAACATGGATGATTTAGAAATAAAACTAGCGTAATTACAAACATATATGTATATATCATCCCAAGATTCCTTCCCCCCTCTCTGAATTTCATCACTCAAATTTTTTGTTGCCATATCCTAGAATCACACATAAATACATTCAACTCAGCGGTCTGTAATAATCCCTCTAATGTTCCTCCTATCTGCGTAAGTAAGTGCACAAGATTTCGGTTTCCGTGTCGTAGAGCGCGAACATGGCTATCACACTCCTCAAATGCGATGCATGCTCGTGCTAATTACAATCTGCAGAAGATTGAGTTAGAGAAGTTGGTGCTTCTCTTATAGAGATAGATTGGGGGTTGAGAATATTTGGAAGAGAGAAGGGGGGTGAAGAGAAGCGGATGGGGATTTACTTTTCGGGGCCGGGAAGAGGGAGAGGTAGCGGGATTCATTGGTTGTGTAGATGAAAATGCTTAAGAAGGAGAGGGCATTTTGATATTATCCACATCCAGAAGAAGGAGGACCTTTGTGGCTACATGTGCATGGCCTGCATCTATAGTGAATCCCTAAATCTCCACTGATTGCTGCACATCTGATACCCGAACATCTAATTATCCTGCAGATTCAGACTAAGGAGCTCATAGTTTGGTATTTAAGGATTATAGCCAATGGCAAATTTTGCCGGTGTACAGATATTATAGTCGATCATTTGATCAGTCTATGAGTCAGTCTTGGGGTTTAGTAGTGCGCAACGGTGACGACGTTGTAATTTGGGATTTCGAAGACGGGGTTTGGAGGGAGGGGGGTAAGATAAGGGAGGATGAGGTGTGCAGTGGCGTTCAATGTATCTCGCTAATGTATATTAGGAGGAATGACAACGATGAGAGTTAGGCACAGCGATAATCTAGCATTTGTCTCATCTCGTGTGATCTGATGATGTAGCACATCTCTCAACTTTACGCCTTTTCAAACTATGTCATAACTAAATAGTGTGGAGAATTAGCGCAAGAGAGGCTTCTTTCCCTTGCATTGGTATACAGTTGCTTCTATCATCCTTATAGCTATAGTCTCCAAAACTCAATTCTGGAGACGCTTTTTATGCTGGAAAATTTAAAAGTCTTGAGGGGACTCTGGAGAGATCTGTATACCTCTCCACATGCAGAAGTGAATTTATTCACGAGTGTGATCCAAAAGCGAGTACAGAGTCTATCGTATTCGCAAACAATTGCTGAGAATTGATGAAAATCCAACAGAAACTCGGGGTCTGTATCCATTATGTAGAAGCTAGGTAGGTACTCATCCATGCTGATGGGAAAACAAGACACTTTTTGATTCACTGGAATACTGGATTTTGCACTCTAGCTCTGGGACTGGTCTTCTCTCATCTCTTGTTCAAATTTCGGTTTCTCTCTCTAGCAGTGGCAAGAAGATTCAGTAACTCTCCGAGTATGCTTGCTGGCTCAGGATGTGATAAGTTTCACTCTTTGGTTTGCCTTAGGGATTGAGAAATGACGGTTCTTCAAATCCTGTGCATTGAATACTAATCAACGGCATAGGCGAGAGGATAATAGAAGCAGAGATAGCGTTGGTGTGAAGTGATGATGAAAGGATAATGCGATGACAGTTTATTTGGACGAGAGAAGAATCCAATTTGAGGGTCCGAAAAGGAGAGATTTGGTTCTAATTTCTGGGACTACCTACCCCATAGTGGTAAACAGTGAGGAGTGTGCTTTTCGCACAGCATGAATCCAGTGATTCGTCAATCCTTCAGAGAAGGACGGTATCTCAAGGATGATGAATATAGGACATGTATAGTCGAGTAGTTACGGACTTGTCATACCTAGCGAAAGCCATTCACTATATTAACTGTAATTCTCATTGAACACATTCCTGTATGATATCCATGAACACGTGGACATTGATTGTCAAAAGGAAAATCCAGTAAATAGAACTTGATATCCACTCCCTGTGCATGATAGCGCAACATGCCTCTTTCCCAGGGCATGGGCTACCAAATTCGAGCTTCGTGAATATATAAACTGCTGATTGTAGAAATCATTTGTGATATCAAAGATTTGCAACTTACCATGTTGTGGCATGATGATTTGTGTCAGTGGCACTGCAGACTGCTTTTTCCTGAAGAATTTGTTGTGTGGGTTTATATTCTGTTTTGAATATGCTTCAAGGAGTGGTTTGATAGGATAGGAAGATACCATTGATAGTAAAAGAATGGTGACAGTGCGTAAAGTGATTACAAAATAGCAGTACTATGAATGACGGTGATAGAAGTAAGTTTGTACTTAGCTTGTAATTCCGTAAGCCTCTTGCACACTTACCTTCAATGTGGCAGATACTTTACGTGCGAGGCTCCAGAGGGACATGAAGTCGTCACAGTGATCCGATTGCAGAAACCGCCTTGAGCATGCTGCTTTGGAATTTTATTTAGTCCTTTGCAACAAACGGTACAAGCACATCTAACCGTTTCTTAAATATGTAGAAGTTTAAGATATCTTTCACATGCCAATTGTCAGAACACAACTCATTCACTCTTGAGGCTCCTGCCACTTTCATTCCATATTAGCTAGCTAGGTAGTATATTCACCCTTTGATCATAAAGTCGATGGCATAGAATCTGCAGGTGAATCCAGAGCACATACCACAAAAAACAGTTTTGTTGCATGTCTGAAAGCCAATTCAAGATGTTCATTGGCTTTTAAAATTTTGGAAAAATTGTATGACGTCGATATCTTGTGCTTGGACCTTGAGACTCCACTAATAATGTAGATCATATTCACCGCGTCTTATATAAACATCGATGTGCTTTGTGATACTGCTCAGATATATCAGATAAGTACTTTTATTGACCGGAGTAAACCAAGATGCTCATCGAGAAATCCTCAGGTATCTATTTCCACACAGCTCTAGAATTGGCACTGCACTCGCTTTCCACTATCTCAACACTTCTATCACAGTAAGGCATAGTCAAAGTGATTGATCTTCACCAGAGAGAACTAATATGATGTACCAAATGCACCGTGCTCACTCAAACCCCTGAACCAAAGAGGACTGTTCCCAATAGTACTTTCTCGACATCTAACTCTAAATCATTTGTAGCTAGTTCACGAGCTAATGTATGGGGCATCGGCGTCCCAAAGTACCGGAAACTAGTATGTATGGCGGCTGGTCAGCCTAGCGTGGGGAATCTCCGAAATACCGGGGTACCCGTCTATCGACCTAGGAAACTTGGGGAAGATAGCTTTCTGTGACTATGGCGTTTGGGATGCGCAGATAAAGTTGCATGAGCGATATCAAGAGATTTTGGTATTTGAGTCCTGAATTGGACACTATAAGACGATCATAGCCAATGGCTGGTCACATCTCAATTCGAGGCCCTCGCCAAACGTCAAGTATTCCGAGGTATCGTAATGATCTTAGTTGACCCTTAAACATTTCCAACATATCCATCAGGCAAATCGGAAGCTAAGCTCAAACAAGAACACTAACCTCAAAATCAGCATTTCACATATCCGATACCCAATGACTGTGATTGACGATGCATTAGAACAGAACTTAGTTCTAGCTCGACAAGATAAGCGATCCTTTAGCTCCTGATATCAGAACCCTTTCAACTTAGCTCCATCATTGTCTCAAACTAGTTTGAATGTTCATTTGCACCAGTAAAACCATAATGAATTCCCCAAGGATCTTGAAATTAAACGTCCCATCATCACAAAATCCATCAATTCGAAGATTATATTCCTTCACAACAGCAGACAACAATTCGACAAAGAGTATATCAGCAAACAACAACCATGGCCGACCCGAACCGTCTCCACAAGATGTTCATTAGCGATGGCGACGACATGTGTAGAACCTGCAGCTACATGCTTCTAACTACCTACGGTTTATTCGGACTCATCACGCGCGGGTTCGATCATGGATGGATTCATTACCCTCAAGAACCCATGTCGTTAGTCGAAGACGTCACATCTCCTTGTAGCACTCCTTCGAATCCCAAAAGTCCATATGACCTCCAACTCATGGGCTGGGGATGTCACTTTTGCGCACTCGTCCTCAGTGACCCAAAAGCAAGCCAGAAAGGCTCACAAGTTACCCACCCCTCAGTTGCTCACAAATACGTCATTGAGAAACACCACGAGTTCCGACATATCGGCTTTCGTGCAATCATTGTCAATGACGTGGGCGAGGAGGTTGAAAATCCGTTTAGATATCGAAAGTTCTCGTTAACGGGCAAGAACTCGGATCTTCTACAGATGACAGAGGTGGTGGAATATTTCCACAAGCATCATCTTCATGTGGGAGGTATCGCAGTTGAGAGAGGGAGTGAAGTGTCTTACACGGTCGAATGGCATGTTCAGATGGGCTCTCTGTATCCGGGCGTGAGCGCTGAGTACCCATGGTATCGGTTCACTAGTGTTTTTGATTTGTCTAGAACGGGAGGTTTAAAACGAAAGGGGATAGGAGGAGTGTTAAATCCCAGAGAAAAACTCCCTCCGAGTAACCTCCGTATTTGCGACAAACCCCCTCCTGCGGATGTTGAAATATGCAATATTAAAATGCTAAGCACGAAACTACAAAGCCTTATGCTACAAGAGGAATGAATGGCATGGTTTTCTTGGTCGGCGTTGGGAGCTTTTGGTAGCATGGATACCCGCTTACTTGGTAGCCAAAATATTGGATTTCTTGAAATGTATTAGCGATCTAAGGAGGCAAAGATTCGCCTGGTATACACTTGAATATTAACATAATTTTTAAGAATTCGTTCCCTGCAACAGAATTATCGAGATGCAGTTGTAACCTTCAATAATACACCTATAATTAAATAAATCGAAATAATCACGAGAACAATAGATTAGAAGCTGAGTAATTCTTGAATAATTATACTTTAGATCGCTTCATTAACGTCGATCTACTTCGACTGTTCCAAGAGTGCTCGCCCATAATCACCTCGGTTAGGCAACCTGTTGCATGTATGAATGTGACATCTTGCTGGACTTGTATTTGTCAAGAAAACTAAAACAAGGTTAGATACGTCAAACAGGAGAAATTGTGAGACTTACTTCCACAATGGAAATCCAATTCCAAAAATGCTACCGGGCTATGGATGCGGTAGTAATAAGGATCATCGTCTCCAAATTCTCCGATCCAAGCAAAATATGTTTCGTCGAGATGTTTCTTGAATAGTGCGACCCTGTGCTCCAAAACTGAGTCGGGATAATACTCGTTGAAAGATTTGAAAAGCTTGATAACTTGCTCTTGTTGAGTTGCTGAAAATTCTGAAACTGGACATCCTTCATATGGGACGATCCTATTATCTTGTCTCGCACCACCCAGATGTCTTTCGTCAAACGGATTCCATCTATCAGCTGGCAGACTTTTTCCATCCATACCCTTACTCAGAGTTGCCTTCTCTTGTAGTTCTTTGGGTAAGCTTTGCATCAAGCTTAAACTATCCATCTCCTCCGATCTGAATAACCTCAGGCCAGCATGTGGTCCCTCATCAATTCTATCAGGTTCTGCTCCCATGAATGTAGGACCAATCACCATTCTTTTTCCGAGAAAAACTACACAAAAACACAAGTGATGTCCAAAGAATGTGTATCCGAATGGTTTGGTCATGGATGGTGTACCAAATAAGCGAAAGTTATAGGAATGTTCATTGAGCACTTTCTTGCCGTTCACTAAATGTCCAAGGAAATCATTTGTGAGACAACAAGCATGAATTTTTTCATAGCCCTGCTTAGAGGATGAAGCTCTAAGAATGGCGTGAATAGCGTCTTGAATATCTGAGGAACACTCATCGAGTCGTAGTCCACCTGTTTTGGAGATAAGTAGGAGATTAAAATAGAGGTATTTTCACTCCTTACCTGGATTCATGTATAATTCTGGATTCGACCACAGTCGAAATTCATCATCTGTAACATCACCGAATTGAACCGCTTTTCTTTGATCTTCACTCAAGACCTTCAAAAACTCTTCGGTTTTCGTGATAACCTCCTCCGTTGGCGCACCTTCATCCTCCGCATAATTATACAGCCCCTCTCTGACCTTTCCGTCTGATGTGAATCCTTTGTATGGTTTCTCTAGATTCTTTGCATCAAGTCGATTAATCAGCCAAGCAGGAGCCTCAATTTGCCTTCTAGACTCGCACCAACTTAATGCTGTATGATCTTGTATCCCAGCAATGCGAGGATGAGCTGGGGAGGGTATGATATCGCGGAAAGGGACAGCTGCATCAGAGCGAGGCTTTGTAGGGTCTGAACTCTGGATGTATCCTGAATTCTCTGGTAAAACTGCCATATCTGCTGTAGATTAAAAGAACTTAGAATTATAGTATAAATTTGAGTCTTGATGTGTAGAAAGCTTGTATCACAATGGTGGGTTGAAAGTCTGAAGGAGGAATTGGTCTGGATATGAATGTTCCTCAATTGATCGATCTATCATTACTGGCAGAGCCGAAGCATGACCTGATAAGAATGATCTGCCCATGGCTTCAGTCGATGTGGAGAGCTTGCGGAATAGTTATTAAGAGCGTATGAGTACGAATTGAATTGATCAAGTGGACACTCCACTGTTGTTGAAGCTTGGGATTTTTCATTCTAAAGCTTCGGGGTATTCAATGCTTAATAATCCCCACAAATTAGCGTGTTGAGTCCATGAATTCCCCTCAATCTCCCCACCCCTTCCACTTCATAACTTGTGGGGACTCTTGTCTTTTCTTACGCGTCCACGCTGATTGCAACACTTCCCGTGAGGATATCGACCGAGAGAAATTGCCCATACACGAGAAATGGTAACAGGTATGGATAACACTGTATCGGGTCAATTGTTGCCATGATGAAGGCAGTTGAATCGGCTTCCATCAAAGTGGGGTGAAAAAGAGTAGGTGGGGGGTTTGAAGCTCATGTTTGTCTAAATCAAAAACAGTCCTCTTCAGTCTCTCTCTTTCCTTCTGTCCAAAGACCTCACTTGCTCAATTTCTGTTCCTCTTTTCATTCCCATTGTAAACACTACGATATACCAGTATCTCATCCAGACATCAGCCATGCCAGTACCATCATTTGAGCGTACGTTGTTCCATAGTTCTATCAAAATGTTCGTTTTGACAAGATAATTGACATGGCATTCTAGGTCTCGTACGATTTTTACCAAAATCTTCTGAGGAGGTACTCATTGGTCAACCAGTAGACTTGGAGATCGATGTGGGAGCTGCAATCATTGCAGGAAAGGACGTGAAGGTCGATGTATACAGCGGATCATCAGTCTTAGAACCAGGCACTTCAACTGGAACCATTAAAGAAATTGGAAAACTTCTATCTCCCCTTGCAGAGTCTGAAGTTGGCACAATTAGATGTATTGGATTGAATGTAAGAAACAATTCTCTGAAATACATATACACAAGGAATTGACTAACAATTTCAGTATGTCCAACATGCGCATGAAGTCAAAATGGCCATCCCTGATCTGCCAACCGTTTTCATGAAGCCTTCGACCTCTCTCGCAGATCCATATCCATCCCCGACAGTTATTCCAAAGTTTGCATTGAAAGATGATTGCTGCGACTACGAATCCGAGTTGGTAATTGTGATAGGAGAGAAGTGCAAGGACGTCAGCGAAGCAGACGCATTGAATTATGTTTTGGGATATACAGCAGCAAATGATGTCAGCAGTCGTGCAAGTCAATTCGCGCAAAGTCAATGGTGCTTCAGCAAAAGTTTTGACGGTGCTTGCCCAATAGGTATGCTATGTCAATTCATTTCGGGGAATTGGAGTTAACAAGATTCTAGGTCCAGTCCTGGTATCCACGAAACTCATCCCAGACCCATCGAAACTTCGAGTCAGAGGTCTGAAGAACGGAAAGGTTATGCAAGATTGCGGAACAGAGTATGAATATCAGATCCCAATTTCCAGCCGTAAACTGACCAATAATAGTGATTTGATTTTCCCCGTTGCGAAAATTGTTTCTTTCCTCTCTCAAGGCACCACAATTTTGCCAGGTACTATAATTCTGACCGGCACTCCAGCGGGTGTTGGTAATAGTTTCACACCAAAGGAATATCTGAGGGAAGGAGATTCATTCTCGGTTGAGATTTTACCATACATTGGGACTATGATGACCAAGTTTGAATATCAAAAGTAAATTTTGGATTTGATGAGGCTACGCGATATCTCAGTCAATACATGGCAGCATTTATCAATAATATCACAAATATACATTTTGCAATTTGAGTGAACTTAATATATTCACTCATGTGCCTCCATCATCCAAAAACGTTCCTCGTCTCGTTTCAGCGACAGATTAGTCCATATGAGTCTTCCCAACCACTGTATGAAGCTGCGAGTAGCAAGATATCCAGTCGTGTCCTTGCAGCTAGCCTTCTTCCACATCTCCTCCTAATTCCCCCTCTCGCTCCTACATTTCTTATTGGCGACCTTCTTCGTACTGGATGTCTTCGGAGAGGTCGGACCGCCACTGGTCTAGCGGGTCTTCTACGTGCTTGTCTTCCGACTCGAACGATAAGGTCTAATCGAGGAGGCATTCTCGCTTGCTATGTGTCATTGACACAGAGTGTTATGTAAAATGCAATAGTTCGAATGATCAGATATAGTAAAGATCTTGCCCCGCCTGGTCGTATTGTCATAGGGGATCTATCCACTGGGCTGTGGTGAATTAAGCCACGGCATTATTGTCACCAGGTTGCGATCAAAGAAGGCTCCCATTCAAAGCTTAGGGGGAGGGGGGGCTCCTGCGTTCTTTCTTCCTAAGTTTGAGGCTGTAGAAGTCTCTAGCATTGGAATCTTAGTTTCAAGAACAATATGCCGAAAATGATATGATTGGGCATGTTTTGGTTGCGGTAGAATACTCCACAATGGACTGCCAATTTTGCAGGGCTGGTGCACAGCCACGAAACGTGTTATGTGAAAGGGCGTGCCCAATATATCACGAATGACATCTTATTACAATTCGTATCCTAGCGTACCGACGTTGTAGAATAGCGTAACGGGTCAAAAATGCGCGATTACGAATATCTTCAATAATTGTCTGCTGCTTTGCAATTTGTACTTGCCGAGTACCGCTATTTCTAGGCAGACAAATTTGTACTTGCGGCTGAAAAAGTCAAATTTTGTATTAAATCACCTAGATAGACGGCTTTATTGTTTGAATTGTCCACATTGGTTAACATCAACCAAAAGCAACATGACTTTAATCACAATGAAAATCTGCTGGCTATTTCTCAATCTTTCTAATGCTGTCTATGGCATTATTCAAGCACCTCCACTACCTGGGTCTCATACCCTTGGCACTACCACTCTCCAAGTAACGGACTCGTCTACTTCCCGCAGTCTAATGCTCTCCTTGTTCTATCCCACATCCGCCAAAAATTCATCTTATACATTTCCGCCCTCCTTCCCATCAGCCACGGCTCTTTATCTAGCAGAAAGCTACTCTCTCCCTTCTGATATTCTCCAAGACTTTGTCACTCGTTCCTACAATTCCGCCCCTATTATTCTCTCCCACAACAATTCATTCGATTTCCCAATCCTTCTTTTCTCCCCAGGCTATGGGAATTCCCGACTTATTTATACCGTCATTGCCGAGAATATCGCTTCTCTGGGCTATCTCGTCATCACTATTGATCACCCGTACGATGTTGAATTCATCGAATACTCAAACGGTACTATTGCAACATGGGTAGGTGAGGATTTCGATAACTCTACCGTTGCGATTCCTTATGTGAATGCCCGAGTTAGAGATATGCAATTTGTCTTGGACTCCCTCTCGGACCCATCATTCACTGCGCAAATTCCTGGCATCCAGAATTCCACTTCCCATTCATATGGATATGGAAGATCCCAACCAACCTTCCAAACTAAATCCATCGGAGCCTTTGGTCACTCATTGGGCGGAGCTTCAGCTTTCCAAGCTATGCACGATGATTCCCGTTTCTCATACGGAATAAACCTCGACGGAGCAATCGAAGGCGATGTCGCACAAAGCGGGCTCAAGAAACCATTCATGATTATGGCGAATCAAAACCATACCAGAACTGAAGAGAGAGATCCGACGTGGTATGAATTCTGGGCTAATTCCGTGAAGCTGGGAGGTTGGAAAAGAGATGTGAGGGTGAATGCGACACAGCATGGTAGTTATACGGATTTCGCCGTTTGGGCAACAGTACTGGGATTGGAAGGGTTTGAGGATTTGTTGGGTACGATTAATGGTGTGAGAATTTTGGACATTCAGACGGAGTTTGTGGGTGGGTTTTTTGGAAAGTGGTTGAAGGGAAAGAGTGGGAAGGTGCTAGATGGGCCTAGTAAAGAGTGGCCTGAGGTGACTTTTGATTTTTGATTCTGGGAAGGATAGATTGGAAACTTAGATGTAGATTTTGATGATTAGAGATGGAGGTAGATGTAGTCCATAGAGTTATGTTTACTGTGTAATGTATCTAATGGTATTTATTTAGTGCAGATTCCGAGAGTTATGATATTATCGAGATATAAGCCTGTACTTATGACTTAATCACCGTAGTAGGCAATCTATGATCGTCAGATCCATGAATATTAATTGCAATTCAACTCCAGGACAAGTAATAGAATCTGCTGCGAAATGAAATTTGAGAATAGAGTTTGGACTTTGATTTGAAGTTTTCATCCGGATGAAAATAGGCGAGACTGAAACTCCCTTGCATTCACTTTCGATACTCACTTCGCCAATCCCATCGACCAATCAAATTCTGTTACCATCCCGTGGATTCTATCGTTGCATATCTGCTATAGCGTGTTGAGCCTGTAAAGGCCTATAAATTGGGAGCTTTGCTATATAGCATAAATAGCATAGATGGTCAGGTAGTGGGTCCATGATAATAACGTGTACATATAAAGCAGTTCGATGCTGTGTCTTGAAATTTTCTTGGTGAAGATGTTTATTTGCCTGGAAACAAAATCTTACTTGTAGATAGCTATTCATGTATCATAACCTTTTTAGACATTGTGACCCTATTGATGCCACTATAAAAGTTAAAAGATTTAATGTCAACATATCATAGCTCAGCGTTGGCGAGCTCCTCCTGCGCAACCATGTTCACATTCACACTCGCACCCGAAATATGATCCTACAAATTCGCAAATTTCCATTCTCTTATAGCTACCTAAATATATACAGTAGTTTGATGTTGGTGGTATAAGATAGCCTAATATCAGCCAAACACCTTGCTTATAACATGGAGCTTACCCCCTTTGACAGCCTTTCGTTCTTCACCAGTCCATTTTGACTTAAATGACAACTTATTATCTTTTCAGGGAGATCTTTAACCTGTGTGACACTCGTTCGACCATGAAAACAATCACCTCGCCGAGGATTGAGAATTTTCCTCTACTGAACTCCATGCACCATTTTCCAATAAGCCCCATATTTCTTCATTTTAGAATCTGCATCTTCAAATTTCTGGAGAAACTTGTCCTCTGACTAGATTAATAATGACAAACTATAATTCTCCGGAACAGGTCCATATTTGCCCATCGCATCGACCTCGATGTCACTTTGATCCATAATGTATTTCTTTCTGAACTCTTTCCTGATCAAATCTCGGATTTCTATCCACGCCACTTCCTGTTCGGCCACCAGGAGTTCTATCGAATTCCTTACAAGATAGAAACGGCGATTCATTCCGGAAGTATCACATTCACTTTGTTGTATGGTGACGAACGATATGAAGCTACCAAAGAATTTTTGTAGAGAATTGCTTAATTTTCTTCAATTCGTGGATTGCGGCTGAAGGCTAATTTGGGGGGAGATGGGTATACTTTTGAGTCGATGTAAGCACATGGGACATTGCCATTAAGTAAAAGTTTGAAAAGGTCTAGCGAACATAATGATATTGATCAAAATCTCGAGCCTGTACAGAAGAATAAGCATGAGTGAGAAATTATTGTAATTTCAAGGCGAAGTTGTAGAGTCAAAAAGCGATGCAGTGGTTAGCGAGATCACCAGTGAGTGTGTAGAATGACGGGACACTGCAAAAACGGACTTGTGAATATCTCTCGATGTATCAAATTCTATATCTTAGGAATTCTTACAATTGCTTATTAGAGATAAAACAATCAGATAAAGATTCTAATATCAAACTATTGGAGAACGGACTTGTTAAACATTTCGAAAGTTGGGAAGTGTCCCGTCAATCCATACAACCACTGGTGAATGTTGCTCAAAAGTATCAAGATTTGCATGTTGCCAGCCGCTCGGGCTATGAATTTGTACTCCCTGGATCCAATTCAGAAATATGATAGGTTCCAAAGCTTTCGTTTGTTCGAATGGCGTTGTTATGATCCTGGGAATACTACCCTGGTGTTACCCCTCATGCAGGGCTTTGTCATCTGGCTGACTGAATTGTTTTTGTTTACATCTTGGATAGCCTCTCGAGTCCTTAAATAATAATTTCTGGTGTTGATGTAATTGTTCATTGTTGTTTCTGACTATTTGTATTCTCGAATCATCTCGATTTTGTATACTTATACGAAAATTGTATAAAACCATCAATAATCGAAATCTCAAATTGAAATTGTTCGCAGTGTTGTTAAAGCTTACGGATTGATGGTTAGGATTCTACCAATGTCAAGAACAGTACCCAATCACTTGGTGTTGAGGTATTTCTTCAATTGTATGAGCAGCAATGCATTCCACTTGGAAATTTCCATTTCGCTCTATGTTATCTAACATTTTCTCTCAGTCACTCCGTACTAATCGCAAATCGATCCCTCTCTCAAATACTCGCAATCAACAGCCCCTCGCATCACCCTCGCGTTCCCGACTTACAAACTCTTGCCGAATCTCGAACCACTCCCCACAAACCACAAAATGAAACAAAACGATGCAATAGCCCTCATAGTGATTCTCCTCGTATTTGCATTAATACTCGTTGCATTTTTTATATTTAGACTTTCGAGGAGAATAGTTTATCATAGTGACTATTCTTCTAATTCGATGTCGGAATCAAATTCGACAAGTTCGCCACGCCCTCCTCTGCCGCCGCCGGGAATAGGGAGACCGGTTATTGGTGGAGCAGGAAGAGGTAGACCTGTTGTGGGAGTGGGAGGACCGGGAAGACCTGTAGTTGGGGGTGCTGGACCTCCACCGGGGGTTGGGCCAGGAAGACCAATGGTGGGAGGTGGAATGGGAGGGTGGCTTGGCGGGGGAAGACCAATTGTGGCTGGTGGGGCGGGGAGACCGGTTGCTGGAGCTGGAAGAGGTGGAAGACCTGTTGTTGGGGATGATTGAGAAGTTTATGTTGGGCTGTTCTGTGATTTGAGATATGATACCTTGTATTTGTATATATGATTTTGCTTGGGAATTGGAATTGGAATGGAATTGAAATTTTGTCACCAGAAGTGAACTTAGCGATTAGCTAATGTGTAGAGAAGCAGTCAGCTCACAGAACGAAGAAATCATCGCTATGAAGGTCGAACAATGTATATTTGTAGGTTTGTGGTAACATATGCTCGGCATTTGGGAAATATTCGTAAATAGTGAGATGACAAAAGGACAGTGTAGTCTGTCAAAATGTATGATATCAAATGCTATTTTGCAAGTCAACTTGTGTAACCATCGTTTTGACATGTTGATAGCTTTTCGAAGTCCTATTGATCATAATGAAATTTCAATAGAGCATCTGGATGAAAAATTAAATCCTCAGAGAGTTTAACTTATAAGTACCTACCTACTCAAGGACAGAGGATGGATACCGTAGTATGGGTGTGGGTGTGCAATACTTCGCTTACATAACATCTTCACAAGCGCACCAATCAAAGATCTACCCGAAGATCAAAAAGTGTTCACTCATCCCACTCTCACACACTGTTGGATATAAACTAAAACAATAACCATCTTTTCATCAAACAAATCTAATCTGTTCAAAGGTGAGATGGCCGAGTTGGTCTAAGGCGCCAGGTTAAGGTATTGAACTCTTAACAAACGGTTATTTACAATCTCCTGGTCTAGTAATAGGCGTGGGTTCGAATCCCACTCTCATCAATTTCTTTTTGCTTTTCTTTCCTCTTTTACTAAATCTTTGAGATAGCGCTTTTTTCAAGGTTGAAATTCAAATTTTGAAGGGCTTCTTCAATATTTCTTGTTTTGACTTTTGACTACGAGGATGTTATACTTTTATCACGTGTAGATTAGCTAATCCTAGGCCAATATCTTGGCCCTTGGCACCATTCTAATTCTACATCTTTTATTCCACACATAAACCTCATAGAGGAGGACTAAAAGTGAACCTGAGGTCTCGACCCCTCTCTGCTATCCACTTATTTTCACGTGGAAAACCGGATAAAACGTTCCCGAAACATGCCTGAGGAAAAATGAACGGATCATGAAACATACTTGGGTGAGACATACCAGGTACTGATGATCAAGTAATACAGCGCGTAGTTCTAGCCTATTGCGATTTGACGTTTGATATTTGACATATATATCTTCGAATAGGTACAGACATGGATTTGGGCACTGCTTTTATTTATTTTGAGATGAATGGTGAATTGTATCTCACCGTTTTGGCTGAGGGGGTTTGTGATTAATAGTGTTGACGATCATCAAGACGATCATACCATGACGGCGAAATTTTAACGTCATTACAATATATATAGAACAGAACCACATATTAGCATGAAACACGCAATAAAGCAGGTACACGTCGCATGGTACATCAGACGGTCTAGGTTTTTCGTTTCAATTAGATTTGATATCTATAAGAAACACTTCTCTGGCTTCTTGTTGTCGAAATTTCATTCTTCTAGTAAGCAAAGCACACAACTATGTATTTTCCGATTTCCAAGTTGACTGTACTTGCCGTCGCGGCTCTTTTCACATCTTCTATCGCAGCCGACTTAGAGGTAAATATGAATCACCATTTCCAATCCAAAAAATATTAATAAACCTTCGCTAGGCCAGACAGACCCCTTCTCCGGATCCAGTTCCAACGCCCACTCCAGCCCCAACCCCCACCGCAAAAACTACCTTAAATGCATCGCAATCCGCATCCCAGTCAATGGAAATCCAAGTCGCACTCGCTTCCTATGCTTCTTCTCTTTCTGTAGCCTCAGTATCAGCTGTGAAGGCTGGATCCACGGTAGCTTCGTTGCCGGGCTATACATTAGCTGCTTCGGCAGTCGGTCCCGGATCTTCAAATGCAGCGAAAGCCGCTACAGGGAACTCAGGCTCTGGGAGAGGTGTAGAGGTGGATATGGTGTGGGTCAATGTTGGAGTGGGATTGGTGTTTTGTGCGGTGGGGTTGTTGTGAGGGGAATATCTTGTGGAAGGTTGGGGATGAAAAGAGATGTTCACTTTCAAATAGGAAGTGATGTGTAACAGAGGTGGAGACTTTCCAATCCTTCTTTGCTATCTCACTTAGGTTAGAATTTGGGAGGGATTTCAAGATGATTTGGAAGATGGAAAAGCTGAACTATGGCTCGACGATTGAAGATGGTCAGTATGGTCAATGGTCATCTGATAATCGAGTTCAATTTTCGCTCAGGACTACTAAGGTCGCATGAGATGTACAAGACCGACGACATGGGACATGGCTGTCATCGTAGCTTTGGCTATGGACGCAAAGAGTCAATTTAGTGGCAAAGCTATGGTGGGTTGTTACAGACAAAGGCCGTTTCTTTTGCCTGATGGCCGGAACAAGGTGAATGCGGGTACATTCAAACGAATGAGATGATGAATTCATGAAAATTTACGAATGGGTTGTTGGTGGATTACATTATTTAGTGTGAAAGGGATAGGAAGTTACACTTGACATATTCATCTCTAAGTAGAAAGTCAAACAAGGAAAGAAAGAGAACGCAAAGTTGCTCTTTCCGCATCATTCAAAATAGAAATCGAATAAACTCGCTGTTTCAAGTCTTCTTTCCACTTCTATTTCCATATAAACATAGGTATACGTTTATTTTCCGTTCTTGAATTTCATCTCTCCGTCATACATACCATTAAAATTCATCATCTAATTAGCTTCTGGATATCCTTTCACTCTTATTTCGAAATATACAGTTAATCGATCCGTCTCATTCGTTTACTTCAAAATTTCCAAACCAGGAGATTCCAAGCCTCGTCTTGATAGTATTACTTATCTTTGACATTCATTTTTATGTCATACGTGTCGTACAATTCCAGATAGGAATGGAGAATCTTCTTGCTTTTATAATCGGCTTCATTCGTGGATCTTTTATCGCGTATATCATTCACTTCGCACTCACTTCACTGCATGATTATTTTGTTAAAATCACTCGTCATTCTTGAACGCCATACTGTACATTTTCAATCAGAAGAGTGCAGTCATGCCGTCGCCAATTGAAACTTTTTTGGCCGAAAGGTCTTTAAAAAAGGACCTTCAGTGTATCTATGGCAAAGTGATCCAGGACGATGATGATTTCCGAGCAACCTATCTCTATGTCTTAACTGGACGTGGAGCTTCATCGGTAGATCATCCTGCTGGCTGGACAGAGCCGAGATTACAATCAGTGAGCTCTCTCGACGAGGTAATTAATGACATTCTATCTTCCGATAGCCGTTGCAATACTCATCATCGTTTTATCAGTCAACCTCCTCCTACCGATTTATAGGCTCATACATCGCTCACAACTGTGATCTCATCAATAGGGTCCCGTTCACTCCACCTCGTTTCGATCGCATTGATAGAGAAACAAATTTACCGATACCCGCAATTAATATGTCGAAGTATATGTACTTTTGTTACCATGATTTGCCCGCCAGATGTCTTAGAATAGCCTCTCCTCCTCCTATTGGACAAAGGCCCAACCACCAAATTTTTAGGAACTACAGTGGATCCATTAAAATGTTTGTGAATGACATTGGAGAACGAACGATAGAACGAGCGCGGAGCATTACATCTATGATTGTGCTGGCGAATATCATGAGCGAGGAGTTTAAACGAAGATGTAGATCTGTAGCGAATCACCTCGAATTAGAGATGTTCTTCTACAAATCCGTAACCGATGACCAATTGTACTATGTCTTTACTGATTTTTGGTCAGCTATCGACTTTAGGGCGCTTCAAGTGAGCGATGAGCTTCCACATCCTCCTACAGAGCAAGATAAATGGCGATTTCAATTGAGAAAGTTTACCAAAGTGACGTTTGCTTGTTTAGCACGCGATTACTTCAAATACTGCTTGCAGGTGACAAGTTTAAAGAAGGGCCAAAATTCGACGCAACCGTCAGAACGGCAGGTGAATTTTATTAAGGAGAAGCTCACTTACGAACGATTGTGTCGAAACTTGTGGGTCTATCCCAATAGAATTGGGGAAAATGAAGTTGTCAGAAATTTTCACAGAGAGATTCTTGCGCCTCCCGACAAATATACACGGCTCATTGCAGAACCGCCAGCAATCGAGATACAAGACGGGCACATTCCAGGCAGTGGGGTGATTTTCTTCGATGTGGAGAAAGAGAGAAAACGCTTCAATACGGGTTTGCAAAAAGTGACGGACGAGTGGCAGAAGCCGCCAGCGTTGGTACTTTTGAAGGACGCTCAGGATTTCTATGCTACACGGGATTTCCTCGTTGACTGCGATCCACCTATGTAACCATAACCACAAGGATATAAATCAGCAGCTCTGAAAGCCACAGCCTTAAAAGCAGGAAATAGTGTATATAGAACTGCCAGGAATTATAAACCATAGCGAGAGGGCATATTGTTTGCCTCTCATTAGCAAATTACACATAGCATCGACTGACCTTTTGAAGTGAGCCTCAACTCTCCGTCAGTGCTTACGTTCTAGATGATTGAGCAGGGCGGCGGGATTGCAGGTTTATAAGTTTGTGCGGGGTGACTATGCAAGATGAATGACTATGCAAGAGAAATGCGATAGGTTTCAAGAACAATGTTAACCTTGTTGTCATACGTATCGAGCGAGGACGATTAGTTGTTGTCTACCACGTGACTCTCTAGGTAATTACTATGAGTCGTGATGAAAGAAGATGACAGCCCCATATAAAAACCTAGATAACCAATCATTGATGGACTGATTAGATTAGCTTACTACTTTCCCATTCTAGCTCGCCGCAGTATGATCAATGCAGAATCTGACCAACCGGAGCTCACATCTCGTCTGGGTAAGAATCTATTGTGGGTCAACGCGGCGCATGGCTCATGACAATGGAGGGCCTCCGATTTTGAAGGAAATACAAAACTACCTTGTCTGTCAGACCTCATTCCATAAAACTTTCTCTTCATTTTCGTGTTCACCTAACTTATCTCCTTTTTACTTTCGCTTGGAACCTCGATATCAAAACCACCTTTTGGCCTTGCCGCCCCAATGATTATTTCCCTTCCAAGTTAATCGTATCGTAAGTTTTATAATATTCCGCAAGAATTAATGATACCTTAAATGGTTACCTTAAATGGTTTTATGTATCCTAACTCCTCGCAGTACTGTTAATATGGAAGGCTTAAGTCCAGGAGCTTTTGGTAATAAACCAGCTCCATATATCTGGCATAGAGACCCCGACATCAGCAATGATTTGTTATTAAGCTACGTTGGGAACCATACGGTTCATGACGGGGGCATCAAGATGGCAAAGTTCAATGTGGACAGCACCGTCTACTATTCAGAGCGGATGATTCGTGTACCAGACGATGACGTTCAAAGCCTTTGCATTGACTGTATTCCCGATTGGAGCGCGCGGGGGGATACCGCTTTATAACTTTTCCAACCCTCTCGATAGCCGCGGGCACTGTCATATCAATATGTGGCTCCCAGAGCTACCACTTCCCGACTTTTCTTCTATTCGTTAAATTTTCTTTCACGGTCCTGGTTTTATACTTCGATACTTTCTCTTTTATTTTATTCACCACAAAAACAAAAACAACAAAAAAGCAACATATTTTGAGTATTCTTTTCACCGGAACTCATCCCTCGAAGCGAATGTATCGGCATTTTGTACTCCTCAATGATTTTGAACGAGTCACTCGGGAGTATCGATTGGTCGATGTCACAGGAATGATCAATGCCATGGCCATTTTTCATCCCCAATCTTCGCAATTGACCTTGCGCTTTCGCCAGGTGTCACTGCAAAGATTTGACATCCTCATTATGGACGGGCTGGACAACAATTCGATGGTTCTTTTGGACATGACCGATGTACGTCTTAAAACTGCATATTTGACCGATAAACTCATTTCAAAATCGCTTGCTCCGTCTGCACATCTTTTCAAAGACCGACAAGCTGTCCAAAACGAACAGAATACAACCATCGACAAAAGCCCCCATATTAACAATCATGGATGACACAGAGGGCAGCTCAAGCTCGCCGTCTTGGTCTCTAGATGCTGACCAAATTAAATACACTTACACAGACTTTGCGTGTGGGGCTGATATAGACACGAACACCACTGGCTTGGAGTGGAATCAAGACTGGCTCGAGGGGACTTCATTAAACTTCGAATCATCGCAGACCACTTCGAATGCCAGTGGAGATAGCTTACAATATCAACTAGGGACTAACTTCAGTGGAGAATGTTATAACAGTGGCGTTTATGCTGCAAACGAGGTAGACGTGCTGCCTGTACCAAACTGGAATAATTCGAACGAGACATTGGACTTAGCAAATTTGGACGTTCTTGATAACCTCTTGTCCATATCGCCTATGGATATGGACGAAATCATTACAAATTCACTGTCATCACTCGATTATTCCATTGGCCCAATTTCTCAGACCACTAGTACCGAACTTCTCGCCAACGATACTTATTGCGATCCATTTCCAGCAACTTTTAACCATACGGAGGCCCAACAAGCTTATGAGTCTTATCCTATCGACTGGGCCACACATCCACCGATGCTAGACAACACCATCTGGGATCCAATGCAACCCTCGCCATATATGAGTTCGTCTACTGGAGTTCATCTCCCTTTGATATCTTCCGCCACACGATCACCCATTTCAAGCAGCTCTGAAATTATGTCTTCTCCCACGCACTATTCCAATACCGATACCAACACTTCCATCTCAAAATCCCGATCCAATTCCAACTCAACTACACCCTCAAGTGATCGCTCCACATCCAATTCACCACCAAGTACCCAGAATGAATACACGTGCATAATTTGCTCCAAAACATTTTCTAAGCGATTCGAATTCAAGTATGTCCTTTCATTACCATATCCTCTTCAAATATTGCATATCCATTCCTCTCCCTCCAAATACTCACTAACTACTCCACCAGTAAACACAAACCCCTCCACACCCTTCCCCACGCTTGCACCATCTGTCCGCACCGCACAGCCCGACGCAGAGACATGACGCGCCATATCGCCGCCAAGCACAAGGACGTCGGTCCCTCGGGCCCCAAGTCGGTGTCAAAACCTATTTGTCCTGTGGGGAATTGCAAACAGGGGTTTGCGAGATCGGATCATTTGCTTAGACACTTGAGGAGAAAACATCCTGGATATGAGTTGAGATCTTGAGGTTTCCGTTTCATTTCTATTTTCATTTTCGTTTACTGAGGATTGATTTAGCATGGCGTTAAAATTGTCTTTGGGATAAAAGTAAACAAATAAAATCATTTAAAAACTTAAAAACTTATCTGCATGGTTTGATATCACTAATCATTCGGCGCATGCGTGTCACATACCTCTGCTGAACCCTAATCCTCAAAAATTTGAGAGAATAAAACATTATTCATATTCATGTAAAGTCGTAATTAACAAGCACCTATCCAATATTATACATTCAAATCCCCAACATAACCCCCAACCCCAACGCAGCCGGCATCGCAAAATTCGTAATTTGGGCCTGAAATCTTTCTGCTCCTCCTTTGCTCGTACTCGTCGCCGTCGGACTCGCCGTCCTACTACTACTCACCCCAATACTCATATCAATATCTTTCATCTGCAACCCCACCGGCTCACTCGCATGAACGGTCTCGGATCCAAATTGTATCAGTCCGAGATACATATCATTCGTAATATTTCCAATCGAGACCAATTCTTTGACAAGCTCAAAAACATCCGCGTTGATCGATTCCTGATATACGGTTGGAACCCACGAGAACACAGCTTGTTTTTGACCTTGTTGATTGCGTCCGGTGAATAGTTGATAAGTTACGCCAGATAAATTGTACTCCGGAGCGCCGGTAGGAGGATCGTAGTATCCGATGGGCCAGACGCCACCCCAGACGGATTGCCAGATCATGACTTCGTGTGTTGCCTGGGATGCGTTGGTTGAGGAGACGTTGTTCATATCGAGGAACATGTCGAGGGCAATATCAGCTTTGCAGGCGATTGCGTTGAGGGCGCTGGTCATGTCTGAGGCAGTGGGGGAAGCGACGGGGAAGACGGACCAGCTGCCGCTGAGGTGGAACGACTCGACGTTGCTCACTGTCGTGGGGAGTTGGATGGATTCATAGCCGACGTTGGGGTAGGCGTGGACCTGAGGTATGTTAGGTTTGAAGTTCTCAAAGTGGCGACGACGTTAGATGGGGTGAGGGACATACATATTCGATATTCTTTTCCCAAATCCAGGTCGCATTGAAACTTGCGCCATTAGTATCTGCCAGAAGAACCTATAGGAAACCAAAATCAATATCAAATCCTTGCGACATTCAATCGCAAACGTCGGATTAGAGATCATAAACATACAGTCATATTTTGACTTCCACTCCCATCATCACCCCATTTATTCGACCCATATAAATAGTCTCCCGAATCCGTCAACGCACCACCATATTGTTCATTCAAATCCTGATACTGCGATGACTTCGCACTTACAATCCTCGACTGTAATGACAGACACCAAAACCACAATCCCCATAAGGGAATACTCTGACGTTTAAACATGTGAAAAGAATAACGATAACAAGTTGTGGAGTTGTACGGGGGGAACTGCATATCAAATGTATTTATTCCAAAAGACCAACCTCGTGAGGTCCATATTTTCAAGTGGATCGATACGAGGTTGTTCGACCGTACACGCAATTTTGTTTGCTATCGCCAACATCATCTTCCTTGAAAATATCGATTTCCGAAATTGAAGGTGGGCCGCAAGCATCAAGGGTTGTGTTTTGGAATTCTGGGAAAAAATGCCAAGTTGAGGGATCATTTCTCCATGATGTTCTATGATGCATTTAAGCTTAGTTTACGAGCCAAGAGAATACATAAGCAGAAGAATCTTCGAAATAAGATTCTTTGAATACGCATTGGGTTGAGGGTTTTCTCTTCTTGGTTGATAAAGCCGTTAATCTCTACTTCGTGTTAATGTCAATCAATGTAAAAATAGATTTCAAACTAGTATTGCCCTGAGCACTTCGGATGCTCGGGACTCAACGGCCACTAATGTATCGATAAGCCCAGTTTGGTCCCACCTTTTGCTCAGGGGTAAAGTCGGTAGATGTCATTCGCACGTGAGACAGGAAAGATTTGTCTTTGGCACGTGCACGGATCTATGCATCATTGCTTCAAACGTTTTGAGACTGTGTAGGTTTTTCTCGAGATCGAACAATATTTAGATCAATTGTAAACCTTTCCACTCTGAAGAAAACCTCACGAACCCGTACACCGCTTGTTTGGTGTTCTAGTACTTGAATCGATAGGTTGCACGGATGTGACTCCAAGGTCTTACACCAAAGAAGAGGCGCTTTAAGCATGGCATGCTTCAACATCTTTTTCAGGAAATTCTGTACAACCAGGGAATTTGATCCAACATTATTCCTTGAAATGTTAAGACGTGCAACTACCTGTTCGAGGTAATCCCTCATCCCATAATACACAAGCGTGTCTAGAAGAGTTTCGATTACCAATCTACAACCGAGTCGGAGACAGCCAGAACATTACTCCATAGCAATCATGAATAGTGCTTAGCTGCAATTGCTGAATCGGAATAATTCACTCTCCAAGCGTTGAGGTAGATTGGCTTGATTTGAGACGATAGGCAAGGTCTTGGGGTGTTGACACTGGGGGGAGTTGACTAGAATCTGAGATATCAGATTCTTCACCGTTGGATAAATCCTCGTCAAGAGGTTCGTTGGCGGAAGGTTCGCCGTAGTAAGATTCTGCACAGGATTCATCATCACCTCCACCAGAAAATAAATCGACGATATCAGAACGAACAATAAAACCGGCGAGATCCTCTGCAGTATGCCCGTACTCGTCTTGTTGAGAAGTATCAGCACCAGCAGAAAGCAGTGCCCACACAGCTTCCTTGTTTCCTAGACAGCAGGCCAGATGCAAGTAGGTCTGTCTGTGACTGAGATGAGCTTCGATATTTACGTGCGAGATAAGTAAAGCATACATGGCTCGCAAATTCTTAGATCGAATGGCGATGACAAGTGGCGTGAGATACTGGTGATTACGAATTTCTAAATCGGGATGATGTGCTAACAATAATCGTAGCTTCCCAAAATCTGCTGAGTCGTGGCTGCCTGATAGTAAATGTGGATGTGAATGTGCCTTTTCGTCTATGGCTAAGGATCCACCGCTATCCGCTAAAGTTTTGTTTATGGGCACGTTTTCTGTTTTAGCTAATGAAAATGCGTATTCGAATGATTCTACAGCAGGTAAATCACTGTCTTGAACCTTTTCCAAAAATGGAAAGGAGCTAGGAATGTCTTTCGTGATGGAAGATTTACCTCTTCTATTCAGCCCGTCCCTCGATGTGCCGTTATCGCAATTTTCTTCCTCATTAGTTGTGGTGTAAGCTTCGTGCTCACCCACCACAGACGAACGATCACAACTGCCTCCTTCGTCACTGCCTGCTTCCTCAAGCATAAAAATGGAATAAATCTGATGTCCATCTTTAGAGACCAGGCCGAATAGCTCCCTCAGATAATCTACCGTGCAATAACGAGCCAATATATCTTGCAGCAATTGTATATGGCTGTTCAAGTCCTTCGCCAATTGTCTGAAAATATATTCGACTTTGTTGGCCGAGTTTGCTGCGGCGAGCAACCTTTCAAGCAGACTGGGGTTCTTCTCACACGCACCTGAAATACCCCCCGCTCGCCATATTTTGACGAACGACAACATTTCATCCGAGTCAGATTTTGAACAGGATACTAGTAGCTCTATTAGGGTGATGTTTAGATCGTTTGACATAGTCAAATCGGCCTGACATTCTAAAACGGCTTTCAAGATGAATGTATGTGCACTTTCCCAACGGTACTCTGAACCCACATCTTCCCAGAATTCATGAAGAATCGTGTTCCCTAATGTGTTTTTCCAGTTGAAATCCAGCAAAATATTGTTGCCCCACAATCTAAAGATAAAGTGAAACACTGCCTCATATGTTAGAAATTCTACAGAGTGAAATGCCTCTGAGACTATCTTTTCAAGATAGTGTGATGGATTCACTCTTGAAGTTTGGATGAACTCCAATATTGAGGCGCTCATTTTCGTTAACCAATGCGCAGTAGGCTTGACCGTGTGTAATCTGAATTAGCTATATCATCATAAATAATTGCAAGAAATAACGGCAATATACCCGGCGCGAAATATGCGAAATTCGTTCGTGCTGCCCATGTTAGAAATTCGACGAACAAGCTAGCATCATTATAAGGTAATTCTTCCTCTGTGTATCTTCCTAGAAGAGTGTGTTGTAGAAATGCAGAAAGACTCTCAACGGAAAAAGTCGGATTCTTATCAAATATGGCTCGGAATAGTTCGTCATCCGACTCGGTATTATAATATCTGAACGTTTCTGAGTATCGATAGAGGAGTTTTATGACATCGATATTGTCGAGAGCTGCACCGGCCATGATCAAATGTTTGATAACCTTGTTCCTTGAATTCCATCTCCAATCTTCAGAATCTCCAAGTGAGTTCCAAGCTAATGTATCTATGTCCTCATATATTGCAAAATTGCATAGTATCGCACACTTAAGTGGACTTCCAACAACGCTTGGCGCATTTAAATCATCTCCACGATCGATGAGTGCGGTGCAGATATCAGGCAAAGCAATCATAGCAGCCCAGTGAAGGGCAGAAGGTCTTGATGACCCCATCACGCAGTTCAGGTGGTCTGCCGGTAAAGGATCATCTAAATCTAAATTGAACAACGTAGTGCCGTCACAACAAGATAACATTGTGCGATGATAGTAGCCAAACGTCCACAATCTGTAACTGCTTCTCGTTTCATCAAAAAGAAGTAAAACATCATTCGAAATTTCGCTCCATGTACTCTGGCGTACATGAACAAGCCAAAATCTGAGAACATATTTCATGAACGAGTAGTTTTCCTCGAATTTCTTCCAGGATTTATTGAAATCGGTCGCCTCAGAATCAGATTTCATAACAGGTAGCAGCTTCCCGTCATATTCCGAAAGGCTCAAGAAGTCACAACATATTCTCATAATCTCGACATGATCCCCAGAAAGTCTGTATTGTGAAATACCTGGACCACATTCTTCAGAAAGGCCCAGGAGGTATTCTTTCACTGTGAAGTGTGCAAGCTCTAGCTCATCCGATTGAGACTTTTGGCGTATGAGACTACTACACCAGTTGAGGAGTTCCTCCAATGTAGTCATGTTTTCCCTCTCGAAAGTCTCGTCACCAGGTCTTACTGCAAGTGCTTGGAGCAGTTGTGTTATCGTTAGCGGCTTTTCGGCGTATACCACCCAAAGGAGTGTGTGTCTGACAAGGGTTTGATTCTCTTTACTGCTTCGATTGACCCTGTCAAGAATACGTTGGTATGATTTGGGCAGATCTGGGGGTAATTTGCGTAAGGCTTCACGGCGATCTCGATCCGTACTGCATTCGCAAAGGTAGTCCATTTGACATGCAACCCACCGAAACCTAGATATGATCAGCTTCAAATATAGGCTATCTGGAGTAAAGAAACATACATGCCATCAGCGCCTTCTGTAAGTACTTTGACAATGTGGTCCTTTAGGTTATGATCTCTGATACGGAGCTTGCCGATTTTCGTTCGCTTCTCTATCTCGGAATGCACATAAAGTCGCAAGTCACCACTTTTTGCCGCAATGGAAACACAGGGATAATTTTCCAATACCATTCGGATATCCACCTCATGGCGACTCGCTAAGAGGATTTTAATTGTTCCTGATGGCTTGTTCAATGATTTCAACAGTCTTGTGGCCTCTGCGCGATCTTCAGCAATCTCATCTAGGCCATCTACAACGATACTAGTAGTGGAGAAATTCCTTGATAATTCGACGATAAATTCGCAAAGATCTTCAGTGGTGGCTGAGCCTTGAGTGTTTTCCGTCATGTGGTGCTTCTCGCAGAAAGCTTCCAGTTGCGTAAAAGCATGTTCATGCTGAAGAATCAGTTGTCGCGCCAAAGCCCCCAGAATGGTCCGTGGATCGTGAGTCTGAGTGTCCTTGTAATCACAATAGAACATTGCAAGTCCTTTTTCAAAGTGTCAGTCCAAAACCTTATTTCAGAGTGTCCTAATATATGTTTTCCATACCATGAGATGAATCCTGGGTTTGTTCAATCTCCCTTATAACAGATGCCCTATTCGCAATTTTTATTAATTCATTTTGGATCTAGTTTTGACCTCAAAATGGATTTGACTTACATCAGAATCGTTTTCCCGGCTCCGGCTATGATTGTCAGAACTCATCTGGTACAGTGAAAGCTGGATTATGAACAAACGTATTCCATGTATCCATAACTTTGAATTGTCTGTAGACGCCCAGTCCTTGAAGTCCTTGCTCTCGGTAAACCAGACGCCCGTTCCAGGTTGTCTCAGTCTAATATTCGAATTTTGCCATTTCATGACATCGATAGTACCTAGAAGATTGAGCTTCTTCCTTAATTCCTCGTCTTCATCATAATCAGCACAAACAAAAGGATGTTTTATTAGACCAAGAACTCACCCGCAGCCAATCTTTGCCGTTCTATTCGGGAAGTCTCTATCCTGTCGTTTATGGCAGTGACGCCTTTGATCAGTTGTTCTTGGTTGGCAAGTATCTCAATCAAGGTAGACCTACGCAAGTCAGTCAAGCAAAAGACGACAATGTGGATGTGCATCACATTTGTTGAGTGTTTAGAGCCATATTCATGGTAAGTTTGTGACTCTGAACCTCTTCCAACAACTCTGAAGTTACCGCCTTCTTAAATGGCCACTTCAACTTCTGAGACGTCGATTTTACTTCCGGTATAGCTTTCTGCAGTTGGTCTGTCATTTTCTCCAGGGTTACTTGACAAGATATAAACGCTTTATCTTGCTGGAGTTATGCCCTAAGGTATCTTGCGCTTCCAGTGCCTGTGCCACATTTTCAAGACTGTGAAGCACGCCAGAAAGACTGTTGACTTCTTTGACGAGATTTTGGACAGATCTTTCAGCATCTTTGACATCTCTGATATATTTGTAACCCAGCCGAACAACAGTATCAGCCAGTGATACCAAACCAGCAATACTCGAGGCGATACCAAGAGCCTCGGCCATCTTGCTACTTCCTGGTGGAACTTATGAGAAATTGGAATCAAGAATATAAAAAATAGATGAGAATTAGGATACTGATACACAATTGCATCGAACAAGCATCGAAGTAAGCATACGGCTCAACACGCAGAGTCATCGATGCTCTTATAAACTCATTCTATGGCGTAGACGTCCTTGCGAATTTGCTTCGCCTCATAATACTGGCTTGATAATTTCTTCTTTGATACTTTATTGCAGGATACAGCCTTGCCGTGCATGATGTCGTGTTGAGGGTTTGGAGTGACCAAGATCCGATTGGACCTAAAGATTGGAAAGTGAAGAGTGTGGGAGCTGTGCAAAATGGAAGACCAATGATAATGATATGACAAGTCAGCATAGCATCCTAGAGATATGGCTCTTCATCCAATGATGAACGATAAGGCACCTACCAAGTTGAGCATGAGTATCACAGAAAATCGCCTTGCTTACTGCCTATCAGTCCAGACGTAGTATACTTTTGTCGCGATCCCATGCTAAAGATTATAGATTACCGCCACGCAGATATACTCATAACATAGACAACAAGGGATTCATTTTGAAGTACAGCTCAAAGTTGAAAAAGGTATCCATTCATTATTCATAATATCAGCAATCGCATATCTCTCCTTCCCATTTTCCAAACACCAGTACAAGTCCAAATCCACGTAAACAATCTCTCATCACCATATGGTATTCCAAAATCCTCCCTTTCCATCCCTAGCAGATCAGGAAAACGTCGTCATCCACCCTTCATCGATTCCCCGTAATCTCAATCGTCTCCTAGCGCCTCACATAACAGTGCAAGGAATAGGAATGCAACAGCATTCATATCCATCACACTCCAAACACTTGGTCTTTCCAGTTGTACTGGTACCTTTCACGATATCGGAGATGGTAGATGAGGCTGCGGAGCCAGGACCGTTGCGGTTGACGAGGCCGGTGGAGGTTGAGGTGCACATTTTGAGTTGTTTTGTTTGATTTAGATGTAGATTGAGGATGAGGTTGGATTTGTGTGGTTTGAGGTCTGCAGTGGAAATGTTTGTTAGTTATGTATTTATGATGACGATACAAGCTTGATAAGGTGAATGTCTTAGAATGTGACGGCTGTGGCGTCATATTTGTGGTACCAGCCAACATCACAACCTTATCATAGCTATTCGGGGAGTATCTTAACTTACCTCAAAGTTGTGATTGATAGCTGTTGATAAAATTTCTGAATGGGATTTGAATTTTGAATGTATTTCTTGCGTTTGAAAAGGGAAGGCCAAGGAGTGAAGTGAATGATGATATATATAATTCTAGACGTGGCTTAATACAAAGAAAGTCAATGGTTAGGCATGAATCTTGGAAGCTTGGAACGCGCCTAGTAATTGGCTCATCGTCATTTTGGACGATGTAATAGTGGGGGCGCAATTAGCGGACAATCATTATAACTTTCCTTGCAGACAAGTGAACCTTGGTTAAGTTTCTGGTTTCAGGGGGTTGGTTTATCAATTCCAGATTGCTATGTAGCATTAAAAACATCCTTGTACCCGAGCATTTATTCAGTTGTCTCGTCCGACTAGGTCTCAAGAGCTGCCAAGTGGCTGTGAATTCCTACCTCCGTGCTGGTCTACCTTCTTTCTTCTTATTGGGACGAACAGGGGAGCTTAGGTTCAACCAAGATACCAAGCCATCTAACAATTGAGATCAACTCGTCGGTACCAGAAGCGGTTCTAGCCCGTGAGGCTATGGTGGCTAAGCCTTACCATTGTAGAATTTATATGTCGGTCTTTCACAGATGATATTTCGAGGGAATTGACAACGCCCCAGTAGACGCGTCTTATCCGATAATCTTTTGTTTCGGAACAGTGCAGCAACATCTTGACGCGTGGCACTAGCAGATGGCTGTGTTCTATCCCGGGCTTCTGGAATCGTCTGGACAATCACCTTTCAGCCAAATTCCAGGTCCAATTGCTCCCAAATGTCTTTCCCATCGTCCTCTATTACGTTCTCATGTTCTTGACTGCTGGCATTCGCCTCGTCTCCTAGTTTGATCTCGAAAAAACCTTCTAGCATTCCTTCAACCTTCTCCTTCATTTTCATGATGCCCTCAGTCTCCGCTCTGGATTTGTCTAATTGGTCCTGCATCATTGCAATCAATGATTCTCGTGCTTGGAATGGTCGATATTCGTTCAGCAGATGATGGAAATTGGCGAATATAGTATGCAAATCCCCTATCTTTTCGTGGCTCTATCAATGTCTCAATTAGCATAGTTTTTGGCGAGAAAGAGAGACGGCGTCGCATACCTGTTCTGGATGAATACTCATTGTACCAACCAATTCTAAGAAGTTCAATAGTAATGACTTTGCGAATCGTTTGAGAATCAATTTGCGATCCTCATGCTTTCCGTTTCCTGTTGGTGTGGTAGGTGGTGTATATATTTGCTCAATGCCCTCTTCAAGAGGAGGAAGCTCATTTTTAATCTACCATAATGTATTAGTGCCTCTCATTTTCAATTTGACAGGTCCATACTTAGTAGGGTTCAACATACTTGTCGGGTTTGTCCAAATGTTCTGTAAACTCCAGTCGCTGGTGGTTCTGGAGGTTGCAGAAATCGCAAGTCGGCGGGAACGTCATGAATACGAGGAGGAAGCTTGTAGGATAAATTGTCGGCGCCCTTGTAGTTTGGGAACTTTTCCGCGCGTAGCTTTTCTATCCGTTCAAGATTATCAATAGTAAATTGCTTCCAAAATAATGGTGGACCGGGGGAAACCTGTGCTATCAAGTTTGGCTGCTGCTGTTGTTGTTCCGCCATGATCAATTTTGGTAGAGGTTATCTTTCCATGGAATTGAGATAATTGGCTAAATCTGTGATAAATCAAGCTCTCCCAATGTTGTGGAGTTCTCGAAAGTTGAATGCTTTTATTTCAAAAACAATGGTAGATGGATGGACTTGGTAGACAATCATTGATTAGATAGTAGCTAATAACCGAAGATCCTCCGGTGTCAGACAAGGCTGAGGAAAGTGGGTCGCGTGCCTTTCAAGGTACATCTTCTTACGAACTGCTGCCCAGTCCATAACTCGAAACCAAACATTCAAGCACCATCATTCCTTTTGATTTTTATTGATATATACTCCTTCAATGAGAAGAACCTGACTTTTACCGCTGCGCTGTGTCGCAAGAATGTCTCGAATCGGACGGAATAATGGAGGATTGACTTCAAAGCCCGGTTGGATTGGTGCAGTAGCACGTTTCTGGGAGGTAAAGCTATTCAAGCATATTAATTAATTTGTATTTCCAACCTCCTAACACTTCTATTCTAGAAAAGCTATGCGCCAGATTATGTTGGCTTTGTATTGCTGTTGACGGCATACATTTTGGTAATTCCCCTGGTCCATTTTCCCCTTGTTATATACATACAAGTTCTAATCAACCCCCTTTATTCAGATCGAATTTCTTCAAGAGCCATTCCATCGCATGTTTTTCATCAACAACATCAATATTCAATATCCGCATGCTTTGGTGGAGAGAGTACCCGTTGGATGGAATTTGATATATGCAGGAGTTATTCCATGCATAACCTTGGCCGTTTGGCTTGGAATTTCGAGAGCGAACCTTCACAAATGCCATGTCACTATGTTGGGATTCTTTATAGGACTGGTTCTCACGTCGTTCATTACCGATGTTATCAAAAATGCTGTTGGGAGACCTCGACCCGATCTTATCTCTCGCTGCAAGCCTACGCCTGAAACACCAGAAAACAAGTTGGTAACCATTCATGTATGCTCGGAGAAAGATCACCATACATTACATGATGGATGGAGAAGTTTTCCCTCCGGGCACTCTTCCTTTGCATTTGCTGGACTTGGATATCTCGCATTTTTCTTCGCTGGACAAACACATGTGTTTAGGCCTAGAACTGATCTTGGGAGAGTACTCTTAGCCCTCGCTCCATTGCTTGGGGCTGCCATGATTGCGATTAGTCGATGTGAAGATTACCGGCAAGTTGCGCTGTCATTAATATTCGATGACAAGTACTAACGCTATTATAGTCATGATGTGTATGATGTAACATGTGGATCTATTCTTGGCATTTCCCTAGCATATTTCTCATATAGAAGGTATTTTCCAAGGCTACATTCCTCCAAATGTCACGAGCCTTACCCGTCGCGAGAAACTGCCTTCAACCAAGGGTTTGGAAAGATCAAGAACGATGAAGAGACAGAAGTGGGCAGGGCTAGAGAGTTCGATGTATCTGACAACGAGAGTGATTCATCCTAATTTTTTTATATAAAGAAAACTGGCATCATAAGCCCATTGTATAAGTCAAATCTCGTTCCCATGTTTTGAGTCTCTCAGTCACTTTAAATTCATTCAAAATTTACCGCATTTGGGAAAAATGACTTACTTTACCTCTCTTTGTGTGTTTGGAAATTTTCTTCGAGAAATCTCATGAAACCTTTGTGACTATTATGACGGTAATTTTCCTTTGTTCATATACCTTAACTCCACAGAAAACCACACATTGCTTTGCTATGTCTGTTCAATTTCTATTTCATATCACTCATACTATTTTTGTCTTTTGTATATCACTTCTTACGAGACCGAGACACCGGGGGAAGGATCATTTTTTCTATTTTGTGTTGATTATATAAAAACCGAGCGCTGGGGATTTTGGTTCCAGTTGTGCTAGTATTCTCTATACGCATAGCTCTGAGCTTGGAACAACATGGCCGACGCACATCCTCCCATCAGGTATGGCCGATTAGTGCATCTAGCCGGGCTGCTAAAATTTGGGCGAATTGAGGTCAAAACTGCTTCTCAGTGGCTGCAAAAGCATTCTTTGTTGCTATTAGCTTTTGGAGCATCCACATTATATCGAACATGGCTCACTACGCCACTGAATGGCTTGTTGCGGTGGATAGGCGGGATTTATTGTTATTATCAAGCCTACTGGCTGGTAAATATTTACACGTTCAAAGATATACAAAAATGTAATTCAATTTTGGAAAACGTAAAAGGTTGGGAACCGGGGTATGATTTTTGGGAGATGCGTAACGATCAATGGTGGCTTTATATGTCTTGCCTAGGAAATGACGCTGGCTGGTCGAAAAGATTGTGGGATAATGTCGTGAGCAGCTCCGATACCGACTTACCTGTTGTCACTAACAGTCAAAGGACGCGATTTACGAATCAATCAATAGAGTTTCTGATATTTTCATGCCGGATTGGCGTACGGACCAACGGGTGTTAGCATATACGGTTGTTAGTAGATGATCACTACCCCGAAACCCATATGAATATTGTCTAACGGGGTGTCTACAGCCAATAAATGTAGTTTTTGTGGGTTTGTATGGACTAATTGTATGTGATAATGTTCATCCTTCCTTCTTCTTACTGAAACTCACAATGTTGTAAAGGTTAGAGAAGGTTTGTCTGAGTGGATGTGGTATCCAACGATTCTTGCCACAAACGCATTCATAAACCACCTGATATACGGCACCCTCCTTATATATCTTGGCCACATTGTACCCGGCCTTCTTCCATTGGCCGTCTGGCATGGGTTTCAATTTGGCGTCCCGGCTTTCTTAATATTCTACAGACTAGAATGGATACCTATACGTGTTGCATCAATGATCTTCGTCCGTCAGAGAACTTTGGCCGCTGCTGGACGTAATTTGGAAGACATTCAGAATCAGCAAGATGAAGAAGAGGTAGCTCTTATTATGTGGTGGAGAGGAGCTTTTTTCCGTCGTGTGCGTCTCGAAATTGCTATAATGATTGTTCGATATTCGACTACATTGAATTCACTTCCGAATGCTTGTCGATCTCTTTGGGCCTTTTGCAAAAGTGGATGGGGTTTGAGGAAGCGAGTCGCTGATCTTGAACAGCGATTAAGTAACGCTATAGAGGGCCGAAACGGTTGGAGGAGAAAGTTTCTGCAGATGCTGAGGTTCCGTAATGAATGCATAGCGCTTCATCACCATTTTGAAGTTCAAACTGAGAGACGGGTGTCATATGATGAACTGGTGGCAAAATTCAACGCATTACGTCAAGCCTCGAGTGCCTTGATATTAGCGGGGGGTCCAGCTAGAGCGACGGAAAAGTTGATTGGAGTGGCTATTCACACAAGGGATTTGCACCGTAAACAGATCCAAACTCTTGTTTCTTCGTTTATAGAAGCTGGTGCTGAGATGGCCATACTCAAAGATAAAGTCAAAACGTTGGAAGAGGATCTCAAAGCTGTCAACAGTGGTAGGGCAACAATGTTATGGCGAGAGACGGTTCAAGAGAATCTGGAATTGAGGAGGCAGGCACAGGAAGAGATTTTGGAACGAGATGTGACAATTAAACGTTTGAGGGACAATCGAGATGAAAGTGCTGTTACATCACTAAGTTTGGATTCTACAGGACAACAAATCTTGCGAAAACTGCAAGAGAGGTTGATCAGTGCGGAGATCAACCTCGCCCATGCCGAAATGATAGTTGAGAAATCAAAGTTTGATAGAGTCAAACATGAAGAAGAGATAGAACAAATCAAAAAGGATGCATTATATGGGGAGTCTGAGCGGTTGGGGGAGTTGTACACGGATGCAGTCATCCAGGCCGTTGAGCTGACCGAAGAGCTCAAGAGGTTTGAATTTTCTACAGATCCGGAACATGATATCGAGGCTGTTCAAAGTCACTGTAATCAAGAAAAAGAAAAATTGCAGCGCGAGATTGCGACTAAGAACCTGCAGATATCTACATTCAAGGCACAAATTGACCATGCGATAGGCTCTATGAACTGGGCTGATGATAGGTTTCAGCCTCTGGACAAGTATTTTGGCTTCATCCCTGGCGCAAAAGGGGAGATCCGACGCTTGTCAGCCGCCCTGGAGAAGGTTCATTTCCAAAATATAGTACCTCAAGCACCTGCAAGGGTAGATCAAATGCGTTACCTAAAAAATTTGACTACTAACAGGAATCGTTTATTAGATGAGAGGCAAAGTCTTCGGGTGATTCTAGCCGAACTATCGCAGAATAAAACTCAAAGTGAAACGGAACTTGCAAGATTAAGAGATAGAGTGGCTCGGAGGAATACACAAGTGACGAATTTGAAGACACGAAATAGAGAGCTGCAGCTTCAACTAAGAGAAGCAGAAGCGGCAGCACCACCAGTAGAAGAAGCGCTGAATATCTCTGGTATAGCGGCTCCCGTTGTGGTAGTCTATGCAAGAAACCTTATAGCCTTGAGGAGAGAAATGCGAAAAAGGGGTAGAGAGGTATCAGACTTACCAGATATTCCGGGAGCTAATGGCATTCCACGTGTAGAAGGAGAGCCTATAGAAATCTCTCAATTAAGGGTTTTCAACGAGCTAAAAGACATGTTTCAAGATCTATCAAGATCGGTAAGAGAGAGTGATCCTCCATGGCTAGGAGCGACAGATGACTGGGTGGATGATAATACAGACAGTCCTGAGAATATGAATGCGCGCAGGCTTAATCGGATATTAAAATTGAAAGACCTTTGGGATTATATCGGAACATTACACTACGACACCATTCTTTTCGTCCGCGAAATCTGCCAAAAATTTGGGATAGAACATGGTGTTGAACTACCGGAAAGACCCCAGTCTCCGTCGCCCCTACCTTCCCCAACTCCATCTCCGCCGCCTCCTCGTTCGAGGGATAGAGATCTATTCCCAGCGCTATTCACACAATATGAGGTATTTGATATTGAAAGATGGAATGTGTTTCCACATGATCAAGAAAATGTTACTCCTGCTTTTAGTGTCAAAGCAGCGTTGCAACGATCTATCCAGGAACAATTACCGGATCATGACGCAAACAATCTTGAACCCATTGAATTTGAGCGTCACTTAGCAAATACACTAGGTAGAAACATCAACTTTCTGATCGACCCAATTCATGAACGCGACGTAGCTGAGGTTCTATATAAAATCAGTAATTCATTTGTTCTGAAGACTGTTACACAATTTCCTCGATGGAATGGTGGCTTCAGATATCTATCCCGGGAAATTCTGTATCCGGATACCTTGGAAGTGACTCCACCAAGAACGGTCGTTGTATTGTATTTATCGGATAACATTTGGCAAGGTATGAGCTTAAAGCCAACCGAGTCTGATCATGAGTCTGACAGCGGATCTGATGTTCAAGCCCCTCCACCAGAGCCACGCTTACCTGCGCTGATGGAATTCGATTTGACAGATTGGAAATTAAACTATGCGGTCAGGAGGTGGACAATTCCTGGACAGGCTGTTCTACGTGAAGGTCTAACTTCGATAAGTGCAGTGGCAAATTCCTTGCACTGGCAGTATCCAGGCATTCTTTGGAATGAGATAAGGGCAAATGAGGCGTATGAGGCTCTCTTTGCCAAATTTCAGAGAGTTCATCCACACCATGAGGAAGATTACTTCGCGGAGCATATTCAAGTGGTGTTAGATGGTATACTCAGAAATGGAGGTAACAGACCACATTATAGGCTCGCAGCCATTACTTCGCACGAGGTAGCTGCTGGAGATAACAAATTTTTTGTGAGTATTTATGGGGGCGATTCAGAGAGTCCTTTGCTTTATGTAGCTTACCAACCGCGAATTGGATGGATGGGTATGCGGAAAAGGCGTGCTGGTGATTCTGATGGCTTCCTTGGGGATTTAGAGTGGGGTGTCTCAGTCCAGCAGCTACAAGCCGAAGAGATACAAGCCGAAGAGCTACCTGCTGAGAGGCTACCTGTTGGGAGTCTACCAATCGACCCTATTGTGATTGATGATCCAGTCGAGGCAGCATCAATACTACCAGCTGTCATTTTGCCCAGGATTGAGAATTATGGCAGAAATTCTATCAAAGCCCCATTTGACAGAGCTGGATGGACTTTTGATGTCGATCTAGAACATTTCAACGAAGGCTTGAGACGTGGTGTTAATCGAGAACCCTGGATTCATAATTGCGCCCAACGAGCATTGTATTATTCAATCCGCCATCAACATCCCAACTATTTGCGAGGTAATCTCACTCCACAATCAGTAATGCAAGCGTTCGATGATGTTTTTCCCCGACACGGAGATTCTTGGAAAGATGAAGAAGTCGCTAGAATACTCAGAGGATATCCGACACTAGGGGGATATGAACTTGCGATTGTCAATTGTATGGCTTGTAACGATGATACTATGCTTACTTTATCTTGGTCCCAACCAGAGGGATATAATCCTGCAAGTGACAACTTATTGTTTGTTGGGTCAGTTCTTGATCGACGAATAGGATTTTGTCAGGGTGAAGATGTTAGACACCATTGGATGGGTATGAAATATCGGGATGGCGAAGCAGTGCCAAATCCTCGGTTGTTCAGACCTCAACCAGCCGTCCCTCCTTCCAGGCCCCCAAAATCAAAATTCGTGTCTCTACTAAATGCAGCGACAAGTAGTCAAGGGCCAAAGAAAACCCCTGTGTCCCAGAGTAGCGCATCGTCTTGGTCTAATTTCGATACTTCGAAAAGCTTTGTATCCCAGTCTGGTAAGAAATGGGTTCCGCCGTCCACTCCACCCACGAATCTTCCTATAACCATGATACCCTCTGTTCAAACTGGCAAACAGTTTGGTACTGTCGTGCAAAAACCAAGTCAGCCACCACCACCAAACTTCAAATCCGCTTCATCTTCCTTCAAATTGCAATATTGGCCACCACTTAGTATGGCTACACAGCAACAGCAACAACGACCAGGTTTAAATCCCCATACATTGGCTGTTCCTTTCGGTGAACTGTTTGTTCATCCAGCCCCGCTACAACAACAGCCGCCACAGCCGCAGCGGCAGCCGCAAGGTCAAAATACACAGGGACAAGTAGGTCTTAGTATGAATATCGCTAGTAGGAACGAACAAATGGAACTTGCGCGCAAACTTCAAGCGGAACAGAGTCGTGGAGGTAAACATTCAAAGAAGGATAAAGAGTCGAAGAGAGTACATGGAATGGACAAGGAAACAGGGATGGGTAGGGGGAAGAAAGGAGGTAGAGGAAAAGGAAGAGGAAGAGGGAGGGGAAGAGGAAGAGGGGAGGATGGAGGAAACAGACAGAAAGAAGATGATAGTGGGGCCGGGGGAGGAGGCGGTGGAAGCTCGGGCGCTGCTGGTAATGACTGGGAAGATGAAATTTGATATTGAATAAGTAATTATCAGCCATGGCTAAGTACGTGATCGAGTGGTCTCGACTCCCACATAATTCTGATAATTCATATACATAACGATTCTTGTTTCTCAGGACTGCAGGAAAGAAGAGACAGGAAACATGATCGGTGTGGGGCATGGATATTTGGGTCATCTCTTCCGTCAAGAATGTAGGTGGTCAGATTGAACATCTAGTTGAATGTTCTTAATTTCTCGTTAATTTATAGCTTTCAGTTCAACACCAGTGGTCGCAATTAATGGATGAAATCATTTTCAGTGCTTGCCATCAGCTTTGTGTTTCTCTTGAATTAAGCATTTGAAGGCAATAAGCAGGAGATGCATGCCACTTAAACCTTTCAGCATGATTGATTGCTATCGTTTTGAGTAAATTAAATGCTATAGGTTCTCACAAACAAAATTTGAATGACTTCGCCCACATACAACCATTTTGCTTGCCAATTTATTCCAATTGACTCAGACATTATAAATATCTCCAGGACTAAACCCCACAAGTCTTTCAGAAGCATCACTAGGCCTGAATTTTTCCTCTTTCCCAGCAAGCTCGGATCCCTTCGCCTTATTCTGTACCTCTACAAACTCAAAGCCCTCTGCGCCTGTCCTTGATGTCTCTGGGAGCAAATCATATATAGCTCTAGAGTATTGTGGATCGATATTCCAAAGCTGGGCAAGATAGCCTACTTTGATAACTTTTGAGTCGACAAAGCGCAACAAATTTGCTGTATTCTGATGCAAGTGATCTCTTTGCGTCTCTGTCATTACTCGAGTGTATAGTTCTCTCGCTTGATCATAATCCGAAAGCTTACCCTCGTGGTGGTAATGACTCTTGCGAGATACAACATTGTCGGCTACAGCATAAGGAGCCTCGGCCACATCGGGACGGAATTTGTGCTTAAAGGAATTGGGTACGTATTGAGGATTTCCTGCATGGTTTGCATCGACACGCAGCGGCCCGTCAAAATTGAGTGAACTGTATGAACTTGCCATGAACGGACAGTTAACGGGAACTTGATGAAGATTCACTCCGATGCGATGATACTGTGCGTCGCGATAGAAAAACATGCGGAACTGCAAGAGTGGATCAGGACTATCTTCAATGCCGGGTACCATGCTTCCAGGTGAGAATGCGGCTTGTTCAACATCACGGTGAAAGTTTTCTGGATTCTTGTTCAAGACTAGCTTTCCGAACTCGTGCATCTGTGTCCCAAATTAGCAAGTTTCAACTAGAATTCGTTCATTGGGTCAACTAACCGGGAATTTGTCTCTTGGCCATACTTTGGTGACATCAAATGGATCGAAACCAAGAATATTTGCGTCGGCCTCCTCTGGTTGCATAATTTGTACATTTGCTGTCCATTCTACTTCTTCTCCCTTTTCTAAAAAGTCCCAAAGATCACGTTTGGAGTAATCAGGATCGACCCCACTAAGTTTGATGGCTTCTTCTGCCGTGAATTGCTTCTGTCCATGTTTGGCAATGAAATGATACTTGATGTAAACAAATTTCCCTTCCTTGTTCACCCACTTGAATGTATGGCAGCCATATCCATGATTAAAACGCCATCCTTGTGGAGTTCCATGATCACTGAAGAACATCATGCCGGCATGATTTGCCTCCGGAGTCAAAGCCAAAAGATCAAAAAGAGAGTTATAATCAAGTAAGAAATTCTTGGGATTGCGACTTTGAGATCGAATGACATCTGGTCCTTGTATGGGATCTCGACAGAAAAAGACGGGCTATTTGAAGGTTAGAAAGGATGTTTTTTTCGGCGGCTTGAAGAACATACGAAGTTGAGTCCAACGATATCATAGTTTCCCTCTCCGGTATAGAATTTGATTGCAAAACCACGTGGATTACGTGCCAAGTCAGGAAACTCACGTCCAAGGGTGACAGTGGAGAAGCGCATGAAGACTGGTGTCTTTACGCCCTTACCACTCAGAAAGTTTGCCTTTTGGAAATTAGTATGATGGTATCTGAATAAGGCATAGTCAGGTTTACCTTTGTCAAGTCCGAGACATCTGCTGTAGTCTCAAAGTAACCAAAAGCCCCACTACCACAAGGATGGACCATTCCTGTTTCTTCGTCAACATATGCTCCACAAGTTACTTGTAGTATGTGAGGACTCACTCTCAAGATTCTTGCTTCGATTGAAGTGTTGCTGTTTTTGAAACAAGAAAACATCACTGGCCAAAGGCAAACCCCCTACCGTCTTACTGTGTGCAGGGTCTGGAAACGGGATACCTTCATTGTTGGTAAAGTAAGGACCATTGTCTTCACGCATACCTCCACTCTGTACGCCTGATACTTTGGAGATGATTGCTGCAGGACCATCATTGGCGTTGTTAAAGAGGGAGCCACGCTGAAGGGGACGAGGGTCACCACCTGCGCTACCAATTGCAGATTGGATTGCTTGAAGAGGATGGACGTTTTGAGCCATTGCGTCCATTAATTGAGTTTCTAATAATTCGATTGGAATTTCGAGCTCTCCGTTAAAACTCCTTATGTTAAAAAGAGTAAGAAGTGGTTAAGCTGCCTCATTATGGGGAATCATCTGGTTTTAAACTACCATCCTCCTTCCAATGATGTCCTCACATCAAAATGACGTGTCGGATTGAATCAGAACTCTGTTGTATCCTAACTTATCTGACGTATCTGAGTTATGATTAACGTCACAACTGCAAGCCAAATATTTTTCCCTATAGTTACAGTGTAAAGCTACCCCGCACAAAGTACCCTTTGATCGGAGGAAATTCTCCGGACAAAATGCTCCTATTGGAGCATCATTCTTTTTCGTCTTGGTGCTGCATTCCGGTAGATCGTGATATAGTCGGCCATTGGTAAACTAAGCATCTATGGAGCATTTTGTGCTATCATAGTTGATACCAACAAATTGATCTGTGAACCCAATCAAAATTGTTACATATGTTTAAAAATATCTCCCCGCAATTATGACATGTTCATTCATCCGGGAGAAGAATGAATTACTAGTGGGGGGCGAATTGCTTAATACCGGGGACGGTCATGTGATTGTTAGTCTTTCTTTCAATCTGACCAATAGTCGACGATCGATAAATAAGCCTCTTGACTCCTGGGAAAGCCAGTCTCGCCAGTGTCCCTGGAAAGCGAATAGAAATCAGTCTTACCTAACTCAAGAGCTTTGAATTTGATATGGATATTCACGTCAGAGGATCCTACATCTTTGTAATATCTCAATAATACTAAAATGATAAAATTGTCTCGAAACTATTGAATTAACATTAATACTTAACCGGAGAGTCCTCGCTAACAATTACTACCATGTACTCAATGCATCTTTTCGTCACCAAAAATCTAGAACTCATGATTGTCGGACTCTAGTCCGAGTATCGTGACCTGGTATTATACGCAGTTTAGGGACAAATGTATGTTTACAGAGAAGGATGTTCACTGAAAGGAGCTCACATTAATATATCATAGCTAGATATTCTAAGGTCAAGGCACCATCATATTAGGTGTGGAAAAAGAGTGATCAAGGAGAATGATTGTACAGAAAGCAAACATCAAATTAGTTTAAGTCCGAAATTTCATTCGAACAACGATGAGAGATAAAAGAACCTAATGTTTCCGGCATTACTGAGATATGTGTTCTTGAAACATGCACCAGTAACCACTCGAAGGTTCTCTTAAGCCAGAATATATCGAAACCTGAGCCTCGTCCCCCAAAGCGAAAGTATCTGATATTCCCTTGACTTGGCCGTTTTTCCCTTTCAAATAATAGACTTCGTTCTTGTTCGTTTGCCAAATCTATTCATTTCACTACCTCTTATTTTATCGTTCTTTTTGACGCTTGAACTCACTGCATCTCCATCATTTGTGTCGGAGTTCTGAACCGGCAAGCTTGCCATTACGACAAGAAACAGAACAGTCTTTTCGAGTGAGAACTCCGCATCGATAGCCAAGAACTTCGAATCACGCCAGATGCCAGTACTGGGAAGCTTCTCAAGAAGTACCGATTTTAGTTCTAGATCGCAGGTGGCATATTTGGTCTTAGAAAGCATTATTTGATGGCTCAGGAGGATATCGATGAATTGCCGTATTGTTTGAGTTTTTGGGTCGAAAGTCTCTTCACAGAAGGTGTCGCGCACATTGGAACCAAATAAGGGGTGTTGTGCCTGGTCCATTGCAATCGATTTATCCCAGCTTCCCGCTGTATCACCAGCTTGAATAAGCTCGACAATTGCAGCGCGTTGTATATCATTTATGGCTGAGTTAAGAATAGAGATCGCATATCCTTTTCTTTTAAGTAGCTTTGGTATATTCTCCATTGCATATCTGAGCCAGTTTCTGCTGGTACTGCTACTATTGTCTCAGTGTCGTCCGAGGGATCCCAGTGCGTTTGCTGCTGCCATAGCCATTACGACCGAGTTTTCGAAGAAGGGGTAGTTGGTGCCATTGAAAACTACGACTGGACCCCACTTTGTCGAAACCGTAGTTTCTTTCTCTGATTGTTCCGAAGCCATCGAAATGGTTGTCTCAAGATATTGTGATATTGATGATCAGGTTCTTATTGCTGGGCCATTGGAGTCTGTGGCGACGTGTTGATATCGTGAAAGAAGTTGAGGTGTAGAGTTTGAGGCCACTGTAATTTCTTGATAAAAGTGTAGAAATTGCGCGTGAAGTGAGTGCATTTGTCATCATAAATTCACTATTTCTGAGAGAACAACTTGACAAATCACTTGACTTTAATATACTATTCATTAACTGGAAAGCTTGAATATCCTAGCATTGCTATCACAAATTGAAAGAATCCGCGCCACAGAAAACACGCTCGGGGAAAATTTCCTATGGGAAGCGTCAACTCATATATTTGATGAGGATCTTTATATCTATTTGCTTTGGGGCCAATTCAACCTAAAAAAACAATTCATTCTATTATTGTTACTATACAAAGTGTTTATACACGCGAAATACTCCTTGGCCTTGTACAGAACACCGATTGGTTCATTTAAACAATATACGTGAGCGTGCCTTGAAGCTTCTCACATCAAATAATAACTATATTTATCATGCAACAGAGCGACCTGAGGGTGTTGGTGGTACAGGATGCATGAGTTTATCTTTGATATGAGATAGAGCTTCTCTGACGCCTAGATGATGTCCATGATCGGAATGACTACTTTCCTCTTGTGTGTTTCTCTTCCCATAATAGCTAGCTTCAGACTCAGAATTACGTCGACGGCGGAGATTGGAATTAACTGAATTAGTTGAAGGGTGATAAGAGCCCTGTGAATTAGAATCTTTGCGATAATATGTATTACTTGGTTGCGAAGATATAGATTGACGTCTATCAGTTGTAGAACTTGATATTGGTACTGGGAATGGCTCAGCAGTCTGTAGTGGAAGAGGTTGACCGTTTGTCATAGTCGGAACGATTTGAGGATATTGAGGTACAGCCACTACCTGGGGAGCATTTACAGGCGGAGTATGTGTAGATGACTCCATGTACTCACCTACTCTAGGCTCATACATAGCTGGATCTGTTGTTTTGTTGGATAGTGGATAATTTTCAAAAGAATCATTTCTTTCACGGGGGCGTGTATGATCATAATAGTGCTGTCCTCTATGCCATGAACTTCTCCGGGGTGTTAAGCGGGGGCGTCTAGGATTTCGGTGATGATACTGCTGACGATGACGATGATGATGATGATGATGCGGATGTTCTGAAAGTACGCCTATAATCTTAAGGGTAGGTTTCGACTCGAAATCTACTATCTGAATGTTCTCACCAGGCTGTACTCTCAGTATCGTCAAGTTGCTTGGTAACCCTCTATCTTGCACAGGCAGTTTCCTCTCAGCTTCTTGGATGGTTCTGAAAACTCCAGATGCATGAGCAGCTGTCAGTAAGTTAGTGACATATTACATAATTGTGAAGTGAGCCATTTCACCTACGAATGATTGGTTGGAACAGTAAATTTTTCTTATGACCTCCATGTAACATTTGTAAGAGACGTAATGATGCTTTTGAAGCAGTCCAATTGCCATGCTTGTTGCTTACATACATTTGCTGTAGACGATTCAGCACTCTGTTATTGTTATTTGTTGGCATAATCTCCCAAAGAAAGAAACTTTGGGAATGATGGCGAAGATTGACATCTCTAAATCTCACTGTTCTGTTGGTGTAATGTCTTGGATTTATTGTACCCCAGCGTCCAACCCAGGGATCTTTTGAGCCGGATATATAGGCACTAACTTTCTACTAAATTGTTAGCAATTACAACGTGGAATAAAATGGATGAGAAATTGATTACAGTATTGTTATTTCCTAAAGGACGTATAGGTATATCTCTCGTTTCTCTCGTTTTTCTCGTTTGGAAAATGATATACAATGTGTTTGGTTTCAAAACCCGTAGTGAAGTCATGGTGTTGGTTGAATGAATTGATCGTCCAACTCTGATTCTCTCAAAGATTATTGAAAAGGTATGATTGCACTATATTGAGAATAAAACTATTAGAGATGGGCATCTTCTCCATTATAATTTATTGACCAAAGAAATGACGTTATGCTTGAAGACAGGATTGGTAGGCTATGGTCTGGTGTGTTTTCAAACTGGATTTACGAACAGCCTTGTTCGTAGGAGAAAAAATAGGCCGGAATTGACCACTGGCAAAGCCCTTCAACAATCGTGTTGTTTCATTCCAATTTGGAGAATTAGATGGTTATATGGTTTTCATAATCGAAGATAATTCAAGGATTTACTTTTGTAATCGTACTGTTGGTTGATTTATCATAGAATTATTAGGTCGATCAACTTTCGCCTCTTTTTTCTCCTAAGTAGAGAAGCCTTAGTGACGTAGAAAGGACAAATGGTTCAGGAAAGGGCCTCACAGCCTCCGAACGACCAAATTTACAAGCGCTTACCATCAAATCCAACAAGCAGATTGAAGGTGGTTTAGTAGCCATTGCTGCGACCAGAATCTAGACTGTAGATAAGCGAGCGACTGTAAGAGGTCGGCCGGAACTATACCATTGGTTTGGAATAGCCATATCAGGGAGAAAGATGAGTTGATACTTGCTGAATTGACATATAGTATCTGGAGGTTTGAAAAAGCATCCAATTTGTAAATTCGCGTGCTTTTATACTCGAGTTTATTGTAGCCATACTTCAACTATGTATAGTTCGCGAAAATACATCTATGAATTGAAAGGCGTGCTAAATTGTTGGAGACGCTCATCTAATTGAACTGATTACATAGTGGGTGATAGATATTTCTTTAATTTTCCACTCTAACTCACGATAAGAGATGGGGACAAATGCAGATGCTGCATTAAGCTTTTGAATCTGGCAATTGAGGCAGGAGCTACCTGTCCTGATTTCCAGCTGCTCCTTCCCACGATACCGACTCAAAACGTGATCCGAAAAAGGCAAAATGAACGAGAAGATGGATATCTAGAAGGGAAGACCGTAACGAGAGAAGCTTGGGAACTATTGACTATGCTTCCTTAATGGTTTCGGGGTTGAGATGTACACCATTCTTCAGAAACTTTTGGAAGCCATGGTTTGTCGTCCGCAAAGAGTACTACTCTGTATTTGCACCAGCCTTTGCTCAACATCTCCAGAGTGACAATGATGCTAGGTATATATTGTCGACATTACGTCAAATAATCACTCTTTTCGTTTGTCTCATCGCGAAAGTGGGATGGAAAATCTGATATGCACGATGGACATGGTGATGTTACACTGCATATGCGGGGATGCCAGCCACAAACTTCGCCTCAATCACCTTTCCAGCTTTGAACTGAGGCAGTGCATCATACAGACATTCTTACAATCAATTGTACCGTAAGACTTGGCTTATCGAAGAATATTTCTTCATTCAATATTCGAAACCTTTCATTTCTAAATCGTGAAATTCTGGATCGGGAGAGAGGATACACAAGCACAATTGTATTGGCGACACCTAGGGCTCAATTCACCATGGCGGGCGCTGTAGATGATGGATGGACAGTGGTGATCGGACAACCTGCCAGTGAAATTCGCGAGGAAAAGCAAATTGAAGAATGGGAGCGCTCGAAGGGAGGATGGTCTGGATTCGGTAAACATCCGCAGAATTGGACAGACCATAAGAAATTACACCTATCATCAGAAAAGGAATTAGGCTCTGGAAGCTATGGGCTTGTGCAGCGCGTTACATATGGTGCCGTTACCATGGCCCGCAAACAGTGAGCATTGTCTCCAATACCCCGGATCTATGACTCCGTAAGGCTGATTTGTATATCTCAGCGTAATACCTCGAGGTGGAATGACGGTCGAAAAGCTCCGAGAGGAAGCTAATGCCATGGAGGAATTGGCGCATAAACATATTTTGAAGCTGGTCGGCACATATACGTACAAGCGCAAAAATTTATATCTCCTTCTTTACCCGGCGGCAACATGCGATCTGAGCACTTTTCTCGATGATATAGATGGGATTCGCTCCGATACGTGTGCGGATAGGGATGATGCGATGAAACGCCTTTTTGCTCTCGGGCTCAAGGATATTGGAAAAATTGACGATTTGTGCATGTTGAGACGACCGATTCTCCCTTCAGATCATCCGACGCATATAAAAAGGACGGAAACAGCACTGGGATTTTTACAACAGCTTATGGGATGTGTTACAGAGGCATTGTTGTTTGTTCATGAAAAAGGCATTCGGCATCGGGATTTAAAGCCTAAGAATATTTTACTAAGTCCCGGCCGGGTATACCTCGCCGATTTCGGTATCGCGAGAGACGTCAAAGATTCGGACAACAGCATAACCTGTGGAAGATATGGTACTGCGTCTTGGATAGCTCCGGAGGTTTATGATGGGGAGTATCATCACATGTCAAGTGCAGATGTCTTTTCTCTGGGCTGCATATTCCTCAATATTGCGACAGTATTATATGGAGATTCACTTGAATTAGCGACATTTGACGAAGTAATGAAGGAGAAGGAATGGCCAATGAAGTACAAGATGTTATCGAAACATCTGAATAAATTGAAGGACAAAGCGATTAGAGCAGCCTTAGCTGATGAAGAGGAGCCTAATTTCGACGCCAAGAATATACTTGGCCTGGTGGAGAAAATGTTGTTATATGAGCCGAAACAACGACCTTCAGTAAAGGAAGTTAACGAACGCTTATGCGAGCTTGGAGGCCTAGATCAAATCTATCATCTGTCTTGCTGTCACAAGAAGAACGACGTGATGTCTCGATCAATAAGTGAGTTTTTTCATCTAACCCCCAACCAAAACCCACTAATCACATAGCCAGACACAAAAATGAGAACCATCTCCGAAAGCAGTCTATCATCGAAAAGTAGAATCTCCGAATTAGAAACCGAAAACATCACGTTGAGAGAGCGTCTTGCAACTCTCCAAAACAAAGACCAAACTTACGAATTACGAATCGAACACGAACGCAACCACGCAAAAAAACAAAACGACGTCCTCAAAGAACGCTACGAAAAACAATTGAAAGCACAAACTGAAGCCTTGATGCGCGCGGAAGAACGCATAAAAGCCTTCGAATCAAATAATCCCCACAAACGCCGACCATCACACACCCGAGGCCGCGGTCGCAATGCCCCCTACGGAACATCTCATCCAACCAACACTCTCAATCTCAACAATCTCGCCGTCCACACCAACTCCAGAATCTCCATGCCACCTCCATCTCCATCCCCATCCCGCTCCCCATCCTCCAATCCAAATTCCAACCCCAACCCCAACCCTCCACCCCGCACCCCAGAAAGTTACTTTCCCCTCCCACCCCGAAACCCCAGCTTCACCAACCTCAAAGACCCCTCCCTCTCTCTCACCCTGCACCGCCGTCCCTCCGGTATCCCCATCCCCACCCGCTCCCCAACTCCCGTCACCACACCACACAGATCACACTTCCCACCCCCTACTAGTAATACCGGTAGTCGTCCCGGAAGCGGCAATTCCACACTCGTCAGTAGTACCCATTCCGTCTTTTCCATCAAGAGTAAAATGTCGGATACAGATGGGAGTATCACGCCTGTGGAAAGTCCAGGGGAAACGATGAGTTTTCCTGATAGTCCGGTTTGTGGTGGGAGAGCAAAGATGGGAGACGGGGAGAAAAAAGAGGGGATAGCTGGAGTGTTAGGAGATCAGAGAAGGATGAAAATCGGAAGTGATGGGAGGGAGAAGGAAAAGGAGAAGGAAAAAGAAAAAGACAGAACGATTAAACCTACATGGGCACGAATGGTCAGGGGGAAGACTTGAGAAATGGATATACCACATGTATACAGATATGAATGAATGAATGAATGGAGAAAGATATTAAACAAAACTTTATAAAACTCCATGATGCATAATCTCTTCTGATATTGTAGAGCCTGTGAGGGAACCATCATTCCGACAGTTTTGCGAAAGCCTTTTTCATGTCATCAAAGTTACATGGTTTTTATACCTGCTCACCTAGGTACTAGACCCAATTACACCTGCGATGATATAGCAAGGAATGATTACAGTCACACATACATACACATACACAACACCTTCCCGAATAAAAGCTCATTCAGGAATTGATTGCGACCGCCAGCGACCACATCATTTCATTGAATAACTTTTATATACATACATGAATAAATACAGAAACCCTTACCCTCACCCTCCACCCTAACCTTCCGTACTTCGCACCCTCATTTCGCATAATAGCTAGCAATATCATTAATCCATCTTCTTCTTCTCCTTTCCTTCCGCCCCTAGCAATTTTAAAGCAATTTCTGTCCACCTATCAATCTTCACCTTCAACTTTTCCCACAACTGAATATAATTACATATCACCTCTCCTCTCTACTTCGTACTGCTCTTCTTCTTTCCCTTCTTTTTACTCTTCTTCTTACTATGTCCCCTCGAACTACCAACACCACTTCCACTATCCGCCCCTGTATTATCCGCCTGGCTAGATCTCTGACTCTTCCTCTCTCCATCAGCCAGTTTATCAGTGCTTCCTGCATTACTCAAAAATTGCATGAACTTATTTTCTCCTCCATTAGCACTCTTGCTTCCACTACCAGTACTACTTGAATGTAGTACTCTACCATCTCTATGATTTTCTTCTTCACTACTTGCGTTTGTCTCCAAGACCATCTTTCTAATACCACCAGCTTCTACCAAGTTTTCAGTGATACTTCCACTTCTAGCTGTACTTCTCTTCTTGGATGGTTTGGTCGGAGGACTTGTACCGCTCTTTTGAGATGGTAAGGATCCGATAGTATCTGTGCTCTTATTTTTGTTGAAAAAGTTAGAAATCGAAAGATTGTTGCCGGGCGATTGTGGTTGCCCTACTGGGCTGAGTGGACCATCATATTGAGGTGGTTTGGTCGAGTCCTCCTCGGAATGTTTATTAGAAGGAACGCGGTTGCTTAAAGTGCCATAACCTTGTTGCAAAGCTTGAACTCCATCTTTGGCGTCTTGTCCGGCTGATCTGAGTAACCCTTCACCTTCACCACCGTGAGGTCCTGGAGAATCATCGTACGGCATAAATTCAGGCTCCTCGACAATAGATCCACGATGAGGAATCGAGTCCGTTCTGGAATCGGTCCTATTACCAGCAAGAACATTTCCAGGCTTGATTTTGACAGACTGATACTTTGTCATCTTTGGTCGACTAGCAAGATTGGATGGGCCTAGATGTTTCAAGTGTTCACGCATATCATTCATATTGGCTCTGACGGCAACGACATTTCTGTCATTGTCACCCGTTGAAACTCTACGCATGAAAGTCGTCTTGGGGCTAGTACCGAAATGATTGGCAGGGCTGACGCTTCTGACCTCGGTTTGATTACGTCTTCTTCCGCCAGCTTGCAAGTTGTTTGGACAGTCTTCCGAGAGATCGATGAGATTGTCCTCAGCAGCTTTAAGAGAATCATTGGTCGGTTGTTCAACGACTTGATTTGGCTTGATTCTTGAAGATTTGGGAGCTGGGGCCATTCGTCTGATGGCTTTATGAACATCAATATAAACATCAGACTCATCAATAATTTCCCTATCATTTGTTAGATCCGTGCAAGTCGAGAACAACAATTTATACTTACTCTCCAATGAGCTCTTCAATGACATCTTCCAATGTAACCACACCGGTAGCACCAAAGTTCTCGCCAGGATATTCCGAAACAAGTACCATATGAGATTTTCCTTCTTGGAAAAAGTTCACAATGTCCAAGCAACTAGTCTCAGGTCGAGTCTCCGGTAAGGTAGCCAAAGCGAAATCACTGACACGTTTACAGTCTTCCGGGTCGTACGTAATAAGTATCTTAACCAGAAGCATACCGACAAAGTTCTTTTCATTTCCAGGTTCGTAAATAGGAATGCGAGAATAACCAGCACTCAAAATGACGTTCATGGTATCCTCATCAAGTATCGTGTCGGCACTCATAGTGAAGACATCATCCATTGGTGTCATGATATCTCCAACTGCTTTTTCCTTCAAGTCCAACACTGCGCTGATGATTGTAACTTCATCTTGGTTCAATCGATCGCTAGGACTTGTTCCCAACGTTTTGTGTAAAGTCACAAGTGTCTTTAGACCAGATTTCTTGTATACGGTTCCGTGATCCTCTCCAAGTAGTTTGTCGAGAAGCTTCGCAGTTGGCCATGCAACAGGTGCTAATAGCCACATAAGACCTAGCACAGGCGGTGCCATGAATGCTCCGATGGAAAGACCATATCGCACACAAATCGATTGAGGAATGACTTCTCCGAAGATAACTAAAGCAAATCAATACACAATCTATCAATGCAACAACTACACAACATACCAATTAGAACTGTACTACCGAGAACCGCAGGCCATCCTCCACCGAGCGATCGATCGAGTACAATAGGAAGCGTTTCGTTGACGATAACATTGCTGAGTAGTAATGTCACAAGAACCCAATGTTTACCCTTTTGTAATAATCCATATACCCTTTGTGCATGTCTCTGTTCTTTTCCTTCTCCTGAAGTCGCGATAACTTGTAAATACACGCCATCTTGTCCCATCAATCTGGATGAAAATTTCCATTAGTATTGAAACTTTCTGAACTTCCATTGAACACTCACGCAATCGTCAATCCTGCGAAAGCGCCTCCAAGTAGAACCAGGACAGCTGCGACTGATAAATATAACCATAAACTTGCATCTTCGGCATCTTTTGGCGCGTCCTCTTCACTGGCAATTCCGAGAAAAGCTGTAATAGGAGCTGCAGATACTGAAGTGATTTGGCAGATACTCAAGAACAGAATCTTCGCAAGACCTAGGATGGCAGGTCTCGTAGAAGTGTAGCCATTGCTGGTGAAGCTTGAGCGCGTACTCCCGACAATTGATTTCGAGGTCATCTCAACTCTATCTATAGTTTGTGATGTATTCTCCAATGATCACTGCCCACGACAGCAATTCAATTGGGTCCAGCTCCCTGTATTTTACTCTGTAGTGTGGTTAAAAGAGGTGGAGCTTTTTTTCGAGATTCTTTCGGGCTCCTATTACTTATTCAAGACTGAGTACTGGGATGATCCGAAGCTTCCCGGCCGTTGATGTGGATACTACCTGGGCAAGTAATGAGTGATAAAAGTGGCAGGTTGGTGTAATTATCACGACATCAATGTGAATGAGGTCTGGGGATTGAAAGAGAATGTCGAATTAGAATTAAGAACACAGCAGTTTGATATTGACAAGATTCATAACGGTATTCGTAGAGGATTCCTATATTAATGTACTGAGGTGTGGTTGTGGTTGGTGTTGCGTGAAATTCAATCAATCATTCAGTTCGTCTGGACAAACAAAACAAAGAAAAGAAAGTTAATGATACCTACCTTGATAAATGTCCTAATTAGGCTTAAGGTGAAAGGGGGCTAGCTCTCGCAGCCAATCAAGTCACCTATTGACACAAATGACGATGGTAAAGCTCCACTTATATCAGATATTCCTCGGTATCACGCTTCACTACACTTCACTAAAATCACGCTTCACTAAAAGTATACGGAGTAGCTCGAGAGTACGATGTAGGTAGGTAGGTATATGGTACTGGACAAACCACCTAGATATTCATAGGAGAAAAAACAGACCAGAATTGATTACTGGCGAAATTCTTCAACCAAAAATACAAATGAGATTGTAGCTAAGCAATATATAGAGATTTGTTTTAAAGCTATTAATTCTTAAAAATTGATTGGTAGTTGTTTTGTTATGGAATTCATCATGGTAATCAATTTTGGTCTCTTTTTTCTCCTACATACGAGTAGGTATGTCCATAATAGTGCTGGACGACTAGTACTCTATTTCGCATACAATTTCTCCTTTTTCCATTTCTGTCTTCTGCTTTTTTCAATTATATCATCACTACCAAGCACACTGGTGGCAGTCAATCAATGCTTACGTCATTAGTGTGTATATCCTCGACGTCCATATGGTTGAAATCTTCGCCCAAGTCAAATCTTACATTCCTCTGCGTACTTTGCCCATAGGGGTTTTGCTTCGTAGCAAAATCTTTATATCACATCACTTATCAAACATGTTTTCGGATCTGACTGCATATTATCTCTTGTTGTCCGTCATGAGTACATACCTGCTGCCTTCAAAAGTTCGACATTGAGTGAAAAACCGATCAACCTGCATATCATCAATCCTCAACTGTTTCCCGGAATATTCCTGGATTGAGTTGATTATCAAAAGTTACTCATTTCTCTATCTTGCACCAGGATGGAGACTAGGATGACAAGCTGAGATAATGCGCCTACCAAAGATATGAAGAGAATATGAGCATATATTTTCGTCTTGGCAAAAGTTCAATCTTCCTTCTGAGATAAAGAGATGGCAATAGTAAGAGCTGAGGTTATTCCCGCGAGATCCTTATGCTGTATTGAATATGATGTATCAGGTTTAACAAAATCTCACCGGCCACAAAGATTCTTTGGAATCATGGCGACCTCGGGCTACACAAAAATCAGAGCACATGAAGTTTCATGGCACATGCGGATTTTGACACTTTGCCCACAATTTATATGGAAAGTCGTTCCATAAAATGTACCTATAAATTTGAATCATTAAATACTCTTGCCGGATTAAGTGTGAGATACAATCCTTTTATTCGAAACATCGGGATACACTACTTTCGCTCTGAGTTTCTTCCTCGCGCATCCATTTTGAGACTTTACTTCTCTCACGTTATCGGAAAGCTCTGCGTTTCGGAATAAAATCACTACAATATCATGACATATTTCCTCGCCGAAATCTCGGAGAATTTGATCATGCAAGACTATTTACGGCGAGAATAGACTCGGTCATCCTGATCTTGGGACACAGAAACCCGTATTATGTTCACGTTTTAACTTTCTCTCTCACTTCAAAGACTTTCTCTCAGGCGATGCCCCTTGGAGATGTACAAGCATTTGATAGCATTGGTAATATGCACGTTGTTGATGGCACCCGGTAAAATCATAACTGTCGAGAGCCTCATTGTGCTGTTCCTGTCCAATCAATCACAATATGGTCGCGACATTAGCGTCCGCGGAACACTTTGTGTTCAACGCGGGATGTCAAATATGTTCACGTTATCAATCATGCATTGTGAAACTGAGATAGCGATATCATTAAAGCCCTCATGCTTGAAGTTTCATTCTGTAAGTGTCTAATATTTACGCACAATTGATCACAAGTTTAGCTTTCTTCCTCACACCCAAGTCAAGTAAATCTCGTATTTGATTATCTCCGACATAGCTAAATTATTATATCCATTGCCATTAGTTTGTGCCAATCGAAAGATGCTTCTCGCGTACTCCTAACGCCATCATTGTTCCGAACCCGCAAATATACAATATATCCCACCACCAATCAATTAGCAAAAGCATTTTTGACCACTTTCTGGTCCCACATCTCTAAGCTCTCAGGCTTCATCTGCCATGATCTACGGCTACAGAAGAAGATCAAAAACGTGCTGGCTAAGATTACTTTGAGCCGGTGTTCGTCTTGTTGAAAACTCTCGCTTTGACAGTGTCTCTAGCCACTATTTCAGCCAAGATTTCGGCATGCGATGTCTGATCATCACTCAAAGTTAGTAATCGCTTCAATCCTTGCTCTCGTCGCATCATAAACTGGGCAGTTCGGGGATTGATGTGCTTTGAGCTCTGATCCTTTAACATTGAATCGCCATGTTCGTATCCGGCTTCTGGCTCGTTCCGAAATTGGGATCGATAGTTTCTTCGCCGCCTAAACAATGTCATAGGAGCCTTTTCCATGGTGCCCCGTCCTTCAAAAACCTCTTCAGATGCCTCTTTGATTGTGGGACTATCCATTAGGGTACCGGTCGGCGTGCTGCGCTTGTTCTTGGCAGCTCGGTTCAATTTGCTAGGACGGGAAGATGAGGAAATGCGTTGCTTGTATGTATCATTTGACTTTGTAATATCAGCAAGGCTGAATTTGTAAGTAACTGTGGAAGCCGACTCGACGCTTTGGGGTTGGTCATTCGAAGGAGCCATTGTTTCGATATCAAAGTTGAAAGTATTGACTGTTTGATTCTTCGTTAATGAATCGAGATAGATCTGGATATTGAGACTGGAAATGTCTTGTGGATGAAGAACTGTTTGTGTGAGAGAGAATGTTGTGCTATTGACTTCCTGAGAAGAAGCTTTATAGATATCAATAGTGATTGGTTGGACCGTATGAACTTCTAGTCTCATTGCCCGTACCTAAAAACACGGCTCAAAGTGTTTTGACATTTTTCAAGTGTGCAGCTCATCAATGGAAAACGACAGTAGCCGTAGTTGACTACTACCGTACTTCCAGATCATTCTGCACGAAGGATGTACCTTGGCTATGCTGTGAATCTAGTTAATGATTTTTTACAGAATTGGTTCATATTTCAGGACTGGCTAAAAAGCCCAGTATTTTGCTCGGAAAAGTCGAATTTCAGAAATGCTATTTACAAGGAAATGTGGCTTGCGAGTGAGTGGCTCGCTTGATGAATATGGAAAGGGGGAGTTCGTTATCTTGGTCTTGTTTATTCATTTCATAAATTATATGGAAATATATTCATGTAAATTCTTGCTTCTTATTCCTACGTATCATTCAAAAAGCTTTACATCATTATATGTTTCATCTGATATACTCGTTTGAAGTGTATACTTGATATATCTGTTTGTATTGAGGCTATATGTGTACTATTCTGCAACGGCTTTAAAGATATATCTGCGTGATATGGATTTGATAGCATGTTTTGATTGTTTTATTGTTTTTTAATTGATATTCTTGTGAGGGCCAAATAGTGTGTAGATGCATACTGAGCTTAATTATTCCAAAGTAGTAAGATGAAAATCCAGAATCTGCAAGGCGACTATGATTCCACACATAATCACCTATTGAAGCATTTATTCCTATCTAAATCACGAAGCTTCACTACTTTCACAGCTTACTCCAGCTTACAATTATTAGAATATATTGCTGTGCTAATTTAAATACTCTAGTTCAAGAGTTCTGCAAAAATAGTTCTGTGTCATTACATCCGAGAGCGAACCAATCAAAATATCAACCAAGACCCATTGAACAATATCATTCCAAATTCCAAAGTCCTATATCTTTTATATCTGAAACCCAGCGATACTCCATCATCGAAATGGTATTCACGAATGCTTCCTCATGAACATGGAATGGCAGCGATCAACCTCTGCCCGCAAAGCCTTGGTAGCGCGCCAGATGTACAACTCAATGACTTTATCAGACAGATCATACTTATTATTCTCCCTCAGAAACTTCTCGTGTCCACTAACTAAGAAGTTTCTAGTCGGCGACTCATTTAGATCCTTCCACTCCGGAGTGAATCGCAGTCGAGCAATTCCTCTGCTGACCAGTTCATCGGTATGCGCATACCAATATGCTTCGGCCTTAAGAATATCATCTTCAATCATATCTGCCCATTCGATGATTTCTTCAGATAATGCCGCTTCTTCGGGTGTCTCGGCCCCAAGTGGAATGAGCTGTGGGCGCTCGAAACAGAGTAGTCTCTTGTTGTGCGCGTACTCCGCATATCCGGTCTCTGGGACAAATTGTTTCTTCATACATGCGTTGCAGGTACAGACGAATTTCCATCTTTCAGAAATATTAGTTGCTCGAAAAGTGGCTGTACCATAAACCCCATAGTTTATGGTGATTTCTTGTCCCTGCTTTATATCCCGCATAGCCCGGATCGAAACACTATGTTCCGAATTGAAAGCACGAGAACAGTTGGGTACACAAGCATGATTGATTCGACACGCTTTATCATAAATATGATTGTTGTTCGCTGTATCGCCAGCTTGGAGAAAAGGATTCATCTCGAAGGAATTGACAGCCCAAAGTTTCATCAGCGGTGTCTCGAGACAGAGTTCAGGTTTCTTTCCGCAATAGCATATGCTGGAAAGAGAATCGACGATCGCCCTCTTGGAGGGTTGAAGCATGTTATATGCTGCTTCGCGGCCGGGCCAAGTGGCACCCCCAAGGATGAGAGGTGCTTCGCGCAGGATCTCGGTGTTCTTGGGAATGGGCTCAGTAGCGAACATGCCGAGTTGTTTTCCTCCCATGGTGGGTTTGATCTCGAAGAGATGGGAAGAGAATAATTCTTTAGGGTGCGTTAGTAGGGGCTTAAATGGATGTAAAGTAGATGGGGAAGATTAGATGCTTACCTCTGGTGATCACCTTCTCTTGGAGTAATTTCCTTGGAGCATGAGCAGCACTGGGAGTCTTTCCTGCGTCCTCGTCATTGAAAGGCTTGAATTTATCATTGTCCATACTTCTGGTGATGGGCTTCTCATGGCGTCTTTGTTGGGAAAGGATCTTCCCATTAACCCTACTCATCGCAAAATTGACATCCTGGGCGTTTCCAAGGTCTTTTCTACTTTCTTCAGCTACGGGTGCAGCCTTTGGAGCCGGTTGAGTGACAGCGGCTGCTGCTGCTGCTGCTTCTCGATCTCGCCTAATGGCACCGAAAACTGAATTCATACTCTGAACATCATTGTTGTTGGCCACAACGATGTTTCCAAAAAGTTTAGAGAGACGATCTGTGCCATTGAGTTTGTTTGATGAAGACATTTCTGAACCAGACGATTGATGAGATCTGACTGGTGAGTACCCAAGTAGACAAAGATAGACAATGAGGAATGGAAAGTCGAAGTGAGAGAAAGAGCCCGACTTATTACGAAGTGTTGAGGGAGGTCGTATAAGTTCTCTTTGGGGTATTGAAGAGTTCCTCTGAAGACGAATGTTATTGAGAAGATTCTGTAGCTGTTTTTCTGCAGGGTATGTTAAGAGTTCTTTGAGTAAGGTGTATTCTGAACATGTGTAGATGTAGTATGTAATAAGACAGATCCGAACTGTGCAGAGAGATCTATTTACGCATACGAGAAGGTCTCGGACCTTTAATATAATACAATACAATACAGCTTCATTTCACACTAGACTCTTTGGGAACGTTTTCTATGGTTGTACATGACGAACGTCCACGGGTGTTATTGGTACTAGATTTGGGAAAGAATGTGAGTGACTGAAAACAAAAACTGTCGGTAAAAGGATACTGTAGGTGGTTCGAGAGTGCTGTACTGGATGGTCTATGGGGTTCTTTAGGTTGATGATTCTGATAGATTAGAGAACGGTTTACTGAATCGTGTGGCTATATATATTTGAGGGAGAGATGTGCGAGAATTTCTTCATCAATGAGTGGAGGTATAGATATGAAATTCGAACACTTTTATATGCCTGTCATTGAATCAGACAGTTGGTCTTTTGCTCTCACTATTCATTGGTTTATTTCTCGGTTCCTCCTCTTCTCCCTACAATCCTACAAAGATTCCGATACTATAAACCATAGGATCTAAACTTGTGTATCTTATGAGAGGACTTGATCAGCCTTGAATTAATAGTTTTATTTTAGATATTGAGGTCAAAACTTCCTGTTCAGACTACGAGATAAACTACCCCTATCGAATGCATTTCAACCTTAATGGAAGATTGATTAGTCTCTTGATACCATGAAGTCATGCTGGAATCTCGCTATACTGAGTATTTCTCTCAACATCATATATCTTTCAACATTCCCTCCCACAGCGTGATACAGCCATCGACTCTCAAAAATGGTCAAAACGATATTCTAAACCCATCAATCGATAGCGCCGACTGAGGAGAGTTCATTTATCTAGTAAATGTCGGCATAATACTAGCAATGGGTTTATGATTTATCTAGAATATAAGATATAGCAGTCAGAAAATTTGGCAGTCAGCATTCCACCCAGAGAATTCTGTACCTACTTATGAATGAGCTCTGGCAGGTGAAATTGCAACTGTTGAAACATCGATTTTAATTTCATTGCTGGTTTGGCAATCTTATCTAGTAATCAGTTTTGTAAGTGTATAAATTGAGATTGCTTTGCTGAGGTGGAATGATGTGATTGAACAATCAGATGACATTCAATTATCTCATCATGGGATTTACCTCTTGGGGAGTCATACAATGAGGAGACTCTCATGACACTGGTCATATAGCTAGATATTCTGAACACATTTGGTCTTCTATACTAGGTTGGTGATTTGTTTGACTAGATTTCGCCGTGTTTCTAGCATTGGGGGGATAGAAAAAGCCGACAAACGAATCAGATTCGGTGCTGGGTATTGTTTAGAGCATTTTCAGACGATAAAATTATGTTGCGTGACTAGTTTAATACTCCCACGACAGAGTTTAATCCGAGAATTTCAAAAAATCTGGAGATGTTTTCTAAAGTGAATAAGGCCCGCATTCTTTTTCGTTCGTTTTCAGACTTTCAGAGACAAGAAAAGCCAAGATTTCGCCAAATAAAATGGCTGCTTCATTGCTTGAAACAAGATCCTGATTCTGATTGAAGTCCGCATCAAAAGGTAATAGTTGTGCATGATTGAGCTATAGTATCGAAATTGCATCATGCTGAACCGTGACAGGGTTTAAGTCGAGCGTACAAGTGCAGGAATAAATAACAGACACCAAATTATTGTTTGATAGGCGTAAGACTAAAAGCAGAGAAGCAAGTTTCCATGAAAATCCGATGATTAAGTTCTTGATCTCGGTTTTCCATGATGCATCTTCCTCGATCACCCATCAGAATAATACTTGAGTCTGCCGCTATCTAAGATCTTCGCTTGACTAATTTGGAAGAAGATATACGAGGTTTACTCTTGTGTGATATGATGGTCTCTTTCCATTCCAAACATCAGTTTTCTGCCTATATTATTGATTCAAGCAGTAAATCAAGATGGAGTAAGAAATGGCGAATACTCACAAACGCGGCAATCAAGAACTGAACTACAGAAATGGTTGGGAGCACCAAGGCTCTAGCCCCGAAATGAAAATAGCTAGGGCTAGATAATCCCAGGTCGCAGTCTCGGAGATAGATCTGAATGCTCAGATTCAACATGGAGTGGGCTTTGTGTCTCCAGTAACGCTCTGTAAGACTCTTGACTTGGGTTAAGGTTGTGTTCATCGAGCTTCCCTGGTAATCGTAGCTATTTTCACAATGAAAACGTGTAATCTCCAAACAAAGATTGTACAGGTTGAATAGAACATGTTCTCCTAGTGAAACTGAGGACACTCCTCAATCTTCAAGTGAATTACTAGAGGTCATGATAAAAGCATCAACAGGATCCGATTTTATCTTACCTCTGAGGTTGGAATCATACACGTAATAGACAACTTCAAGTGAATGCTGTTGCCCGCATGCACTATTATATAACTTGTGGGTCTGTTGACCCAAGAAATTAGCCAACCTTGGAAACAAAAATGGTACAATGGGTCGTGAGAATCTCTAGTTTTGAGATCGACCTCTGATCCAACACTGAGTTCACTGAGATATGGTAGTATCAACAGGGCACAATAATAGTAGCTGGCTGATGCGGAAAAAAAGTACATTGACAGCAAAAATTAGTTCAAATGATATATGATTCTCGCTGTCGTCTATAATGCCCAAGGGTTTGTTATCACTAAGATCTCACCTCATATATCTCTGGCTATCATGATGTAAAGATAATTCCTAAAGCTACCAACCAGCTCTCATCAAACTTTTGCGAAAAGATAAAGGCTCGATCGGAGTGCGAGATCATGTAACATGAAGGGCTCTCTATTAATCTGTATTGACCCCATGATCATCCCTTAAAGTTGTCTTAGGGCACCTATGAATACAACACTGGAGGGAAAATATGCTTGAATATGGAAGCTGTTGTTTTGTGTGTACGAGTATGATTTCCAGCTTATTATAAACCACCTGGAGTGAATTTGATTGCTAATTATAGCCTCTATTCAAATGAAAGATGCCACCATGTGGATTTCTAAGTCTGCCATCTACCACCTGACCATTCAACGCATCCAGCGGAGATAGGTACATTGATTCACTTCCTCTCTGTGTGACATACACACGTGGGTCTCTAGCTTTCAAGTTAATGAGGTATAGACACAGACCTCAAGGTTTCTCATGGCCGTTCAAGAATCTTCTAAAAAGAAGGACGTATTCTAAAAGAGATAGTAGGGGAGGGTGAACTTATTAGATTGAACAGTAGACCAAGTTCAAGTGACTTTGCCCTAAGAGATATGTCTGTGGAGTGAAGATTGATGCGCAGTTTATCTGCGGACAAACCTTTGGACCATACAAGCACAAGCGTGCTAATATTTTTCGAAACTGGAGTGAAATATGTGTGAGAAACAACGGTAACCCCAAAAAACGACAATCAAAATACCTAAAAGACAGCAACAAGAAAGTGTAACAAAACATCAGATAATACCATTCTCGCCGAAGGTTTCTCCCTCCTGGAAACCGATCTCTGATCATATCTATTTTCCCACAACCTTGACTGTCCTAGTGTTCAGGCAACTGCAGACACATGTACGTGGAAATAGCGAGAATTCCACTGACTTAGATGTTGAGCGAAACTATCTACTTTTGAACTCTTATATAGCCCGAGAACGCTTCCTCTGGCCCTCACAAGATGCTATCACGAAAAGTAAAACACTGATGGCCAAGTGATCTCTCTAAAATCTGTCTGACTTGAATATTCACTTGGACTTCTGAAGATATCGAGGTCTACCCCTCTTTCTTGTAGTTGATTAGTAAATTCCCCGTCGCGTATTCTCCAGCGAATGTATGTTCTACACAGGATTTAAGAGCTAGAAGATCAGTGATAGATATCTTAGGGTAATCGAGTTAAAGGCATATACACACCAAACAAACTGCGTGTCAGAGGTATGGCGATTATGTGAGGAAACCAATACACAAGATCTTGCAACAGAGCTTGATACGAGTTCAAAGGCGGTGGATCAATCTAAGTATCAAGCTTCAATCTTATGGAGCTACAACGTGCAATTTTAAAGTGACAGCAAAAAATTGGCCCACGGAAACGGAATTTGAGAAGAAAATGACGAACGTAATCGATAAGATTCCAGAACCCTACTAGAAATTTAGAAAATAACTTGCCGCCATGCCCTCGAATTGCAAAATGCTACTAGATGTACTAAAATATAAGACAAAAAGCCAGGCTCACAAGACCTTCGACTGGACTTGAATCCTATTTTTCAATTTGCATCTTCACCCACGATTGCCGCAGTCTTTATATAACTAGAAAATTGTAAATCGCAATCCACGAATCAAGTAAATACCAAAGGGTTACTACCGGAATTTTTCTTCGCAAGTATTATTTAAGAGTCCAAAGAGTGCTTGGGTCTGCTCTTCAAGCCAAGAGACACGATGGAACAGCCGAATAAGGGCTTCGCCACGAATGCACAATGGGCGACGTGGGTAAGAAGCCAAGTCGTTATAAGCTGAGAAATGTGGAATTGCCTGTCTGATTGACCATGATTCACAAATTATCGATCAGTCAGAGCGAAATGAAAGTCGGATAAAGCGACAGTACCAAGAGAGATGACGATCGGATGTTAACGATAACAAGAACTGAACACCCTACCAGTAACAATAATTGAAGTAGGTGTTATGGTGGGGTCGAAATATTTCAGATCCGTTCCTACAATTGGCTCGGTGAGCTTATATAATTGAAATATTTCGAAAATATTTGGGATCCATTGA